AATAACGCGCAGCATTTGTTTATTAATTTGACATTGGCCTAGAATGCACCTCTCACTCGAGGAGTCCACTCGAGCTGCATTTTTATCGCCGTATTTGGCCAATTACCAAGTGTGGACGAGACCAATTCCGCACAGGGCCGCCGAGGCTCTTTAATTGTCTATTTTCAAACAACCGCACCATCTGCTACAAAAACCATATAAAATTAATGGTTTTGGTTTATTTTGTGTAGAAAAAGACAATGAATTAGAAACAGCTGCATCTACACAATTTCAACAGATAAGATAATTTTTGAATTGTCAGAAATAATTTTTTTATCTATTTCCAATCTATATAAGTCGATCTGATATTGTAAAAAGGGCCTGGTCCAATAAAATCGGTTCCTCTGACCGAAACATCCAAATTGCTTTACAGCTGTTCGCCAATTATGTTTAAGCAATTTATGATCGGCGAAGGACCAATTTGGATTTGTGTGTTTTTTCCTACGAAAGGTGCGGGCTGCGTGAAGAACGGACAGAGGAAAGTTTCACGCCGTGAGTGCAATAAATAAATCTCGCTAGTAATAATTCAATAATCACCGGTGTGCGCGGTGACCTTGATAATCGCGGCGGGCATCGCTTTGGAAAACATTTTTTATAAATTTCGCACGCCTCTATAATGAATCTCTCGGAAGCCCAAAGTGACTGACTGAGAGAGGAAAGAAAGCACGTGAGAATTTCTCTTTCCACTCGCGAGAAAGGAGTTTCATTTTTATATACACGACCTCTCCTTAAGGAGACAAGTAATTATCTGATAATGAGAGGAGATGAATTCCGCAGATAACAACATCATCAGCTACCTACCTTCACTATTTTTCTCAAGATTCTTCCAACCGATTTAAAAATGAATATTATTTTGCACAATGATGTGGAAATATTTAATTATTGATTTCACCAAGAGATCGAAATTTGGCCCTACTTTCATTATTGGGTGAAAAGGAAAGGAAAGTGAAACTTGACAAGGTGGCTGATTAATTTGAATTTTATTAATTAATAGATCAATCAATGAGATTTCAAATTAAAATGAATGATCGACACAAAGGTCCATTCAAATTGGGACTGACTGCTGAAAGCGAATCGGAATTCCTCCGTGAAAAGCTCCAGATTTTCTGCCCAAGCCCGCCGTGTCGACTGCATTTTTAGCCTTTCATAAGCTGCAGCAGCTTGCGTTTTTTTCTACGCCTCATTTATTATTTATAGCGGCTTGGCGGGCCAGCCGCATGGTAATCAGATTATTTATCCCGGCGGCTTCATTTTATATAATAAGTGCATCTCACACCATCTTAGCATCTTAAGTGACAGCCATAGTTGTTATAATGGATCACCATAAAGTATCAAATTATAGCCTGCTCTCAACATTTGACACCCGAGACAGGGTGGATCTCAGCCTCCGAGTCATTTCATATATTACCAAGCCAAGCAAGGCTGAAATTTCAAAACTATATAATATTCTCCACTTCCTTGTAAGTTTCATTTTTCATATATAAAAAAAAAAAAAAAATGAAAAAAGCAGAAGTTTGGAAAAAAAAATCAGCTTCTTATCTTTTATTATAGATAGGGGCGGCACATTTTGATGACAAAAAGGGCTTAAAATTCCGTCGGCTCGCTTAAGCTTTCAAATAAGTGCTGAAGGCTATTAACTTTTTCTCGCCTCCGAGACCACCTGACTCCCTGTGATCGTTTACGAAAGGGACGCAGATGCATCAGGTCGCTCTTTTCTCATTTGTTTGTTGTCACGGTCCATTTCGTGGCTCTCCGAGACAAAAACAAAAGCAAAACCAAGCCACAGGACTTGTCATCTTGGAAAGTTTGAGATCAACAAAAAAAGTGACAAGAATAAAGTTATATAAATTGTAGGGCAGCAACACCAAAGAGCAAAAACAAATAAGAATTTTTAAAAGAAAAGGAGATTTAATATTTGATTAAAATCCTTTAATTACGAAATTGATTTTTTGCCTACAATTTCTTGTATATTTATAATTATTTTTTCGATGAGCAAAAGTACGTTCATCACAGTTAAGCGCCACATGATCAAGAAAGTGGCGGCGTTTCGAGCGACTGGATCAATTGCCTTGATAGGAGAAAGATGCGCTACCGCATTGAACACAAAAAGCACCTTGCTCTCTGTGAATATCATCGATATCGTTTCGAAACCAATTTTCACGGTCTGAATGCAGTGTAAGAATGAGCTGTGCTGAATCTCAATCCATCATTATCGCAATGCGATAGATTGCTCTTTGATTTGCTACACGGATCGAATCGGCTGCTCATAATAGCGGCAGCGGCTATAAAGGATCACGAGGAAACGCTTTCAATTTAATTATTTTTTGAATTATCCAAAGAGAAATGCTTTTTTACTTGAGACTTGTGTTAATTAAGTCTTGATTGGAAATATTTTTAGCGAAAATTTTAACAAAATTTCAAAATGAGATGAAAATTTATATAAAAAAAAATGGCAAGAAAAATAATGAAAATAAGGAAGATAAAATTGTTATTGTTATTGGAATATAAAGGATTTGCGGATTCAGGGCGCCATATTATTCGATATCATATTTATGGCTTCCGTTCGCATTGGCCTCTGACTGAATCAAAACTAATTTATTCCGCTTCGTCGTTTCCATTCATCCAGGGGATGATCGTGCCAGTTGAGGCAGCTGGAATGCCATAAAGCCCTGCAGACATGCAAACGTTGTCTGAACTTCTCTCTCTAGCATACAAAATGTTCAAATGCCGCACGCGGAGAGACCGAAATAGCGGGGCGGAAAAAGAAAAGCTGCTGCTCGCCGCGCCGAATGTATCGCCGGTGTCCTCTTTTTCAATGTGCGGAGACGATGTGCGTGCGCGAATAAATAAATTCATAATTTTTATGGGATGCGCGCTGCGTCGTCGGCGAGCAAACGGCGTGTTTCTGAATAAACATGCATGGATAGCAAAGCGGCGGCATGCAAAATGAAATCGCGCGCGCTCGTGTGGCGTGCAAATCATTTGGGTCATTACATTACGTTAAACGAGGGCCCGTTTGGCCAATTTTCCGTGATAGCATGCAGACACCGGGACGTCTCCTGCGCAAGGTACCCGCATCATTATTGAAATTATTAAGAAATTTAATGCTCTTCTTGTATGCATGTGCTTAGAATAAATTTCTTTTAACTGTTTTGAAAGCAGTTTTGTAAGCCTTCGTTTGACACAACAGAGAGTTGGCAATGCAAAATGTAACAAGATTGAAGCACCAATATTGCACCATCAATGTATCTGTAAAAACAAAACTTTTAATCATAATCCCGGTATATATAAAAAAATATTATCAAAATTAAATAGATATTGAGGATCTAAAATGTAATATGAAATAATTTTTAATCCATTGCTCACTTTAAATATTTATAAGGAATTTCATTTTTTAAAAATTAATCATGATCTACTTTAAGAAAATATAAAATACGAATGAATCAAAATTTTTTCCTCTACAATAATATAATCTTTGGCAAAAGCTGTAATTTATTAATTAAATTTGTATCAATCAATAAAGAATCCCCTTGAAAAGAATACTGAAAATATTTCCCAATTCCATTATCTGCGTTTATATAATATTCGTGCTGATGATAGCCCTTTTTTCTTGCCAGAACGAAAAAAATATTTGTCTGCTTCCTTCAACGAATTGCGTCAGAGACAAAGCTCTCGCTTGCACGTATTGTTATTTACTTTCAGCGAATGATGATCAAACAAAGAGTTAAAAGACTCTCAGCGCGGAGATAAGTCTGTTTAGTTTTTCACTTTCAAGCAAAGCTTGCAGTTGCATTTCGTGCTCTTTTACCGAATTTTCTTAAAAAGAGGAAGGCTTGCGAAGTCCGCACGTCAGCGAAGCCGCGAGACGAGATAGTTGTCGGTGCTAGAGAGGTGGGTTTATTTTATGAAAGTGGGTAAATTTAGCCCGTAGCTGAAAATGCGTCTCTGCTTCTTTTTTGACTCATGGATGGCTCACGTGTATAGAAGAAGACGAGAGTACAGCTCATGCAGCTTTTTCGCGTTCGGAGCGAGGCAGGAAATAAAGAAAGTCGCATAAGTCGCGGCGAAATTGGCCTGCGGGGTGTATTTAAAGAAAGTGAAATTTGATTAAGACCGTAAAGAATCGTGTACGAGCATTTATTTTGATTTATTCGGCGGGAGGTTAAATTTGACGCCTCTCTTGATTGCGGCAGTGAAATTAATTACTCCGTCCGTTAGCTGTGAAATACACTGGCATCTGTCATTCCTCTTTATACTATCAGAGGGAGTTCTATTAATAATCAAGCCGTCTCGGTGTTTGGGATGAACCATCTCCCTGTTCAAACTTGTTTTTATCCATATGCGAGAGCCTCTTTTTAATATATTCAAGCGCGTCACGATGATGAGGGTGGAGATTTAATTCCAGAGACGAGCTATAAAATAGAAGGAAGCAGATCCAGATGGAATTAAACAAAAACTCTGAAATTAATTTTCAATTCAAATCAACAAAAACTCATACAAAAAAAGCGCTTGATTTGGGAAATTCTTCAACATTGCGGTTGTGGTGGACAAGTAAGGTCAAAACAAAGACCGGAGACAATGGTGCACGCTATTGAAAAATTATTTGGCAGCAGAATAATAATTCTGAATGCGACAAGCGTGACTGAATGCGTGTAACAGTAGAATTGATCGTGCCTTACATGACAGTTAAGCAGCACGTCTGCAAAAAAAATACAGAAATATCATTATGCATTCAACAAAGCTCCGAATATTAAGTGACACAAAGCAAAATAAAACTTTTATGAATTTTTAACTCGACGATAAAAAAATAAAGATAAAAAAATACAAAATAAGTCAGGCCTAAATTAAGCAATAATTAATTTTATACTCTTAAACAAATAATAATTAAATATTTTAAATTTTAAATAGTTTTTTCTTCCATAAAATTTTTTCCAGAATACTAATTTTGTTTTAATTTTCAGACTGTGAGTCACGCTGCGGCTCCGCGAAAAGTCGTCCCCGTGATGGACCAAACTCCAGACACAGCCAAGAAGCCAAAGTCAAAATGGACCCTGGGCAGCTTATTCAGAAGGCGCGCCAGCACCAAGCACCAGCAGGAGGCTTCGGCGAGCAGCTCTGAGGATGAGAAAAAGCCGCAACAACGCAGTTTCCTCAGCCACAGGCGCTCCAACAAAAAGAGATCGGACAGAAAAGCGGAAAAGAGTGCAAAAATAAAAATAGAGCAGCAGCCATGGAGCGGCTCGGCCAACTCTCTTGCCGGGTCGTCGGAAGGGTTTGGGTCACACAGCAGTCTGACGAGACGAGACCGAAGGGAGCTGGTTAAGGCGCGCGTAGAGGCGACTAGGCGCGACTCCAGCTCCGACGAAAACGATTTCACCCTTCGCCAATCCAGCAGTCTGACGAGATTCAAGAGCGACGAAAGTTTATCCAGCTTGAATCGAAGGACACGGGCTGCCCGGACGGAGCGGTATAAAAAAAGATTGGAAAAGTCCTCCGAGCCGACCAACCTGCACCACTCGGGCAGTGCCACTTGGAACGCCACTGTGGTCAGCTATAGAGAGACTTCGCCCTTTGTCAGGGCAGTTTCAGCTACCCCTAGTCCACTTGTCAGCCCTAAAATGTCTCACAGGCCATTGCCACCCCAAATGATGTCTCCGCCAAGGGTAAGGCGGAGTTACTGCTGCGAAGCGCCGCCCTTCATGCCACCCCGAAGTACGGCCACCCCGCAGATGTATGCAACCAGTGCTTTCATCCCCTTCAGCCCCAAACAGGCACCGCCACCACCCCCTCGGGATCCTCTGCGGAAATTCATGGGCACGCCACAGCAATATGTCAACGTCGAAGCAAAACCCGTCTACCGGTCAAGGTCTGACCACCAGCTCCCTCAGGGGGACCACCTCAACGCAAAAATATTTCCCTCCTCTTCGCAGACCCATTTTAAGTACCTGGCCGATCGCACCCCTCGCAGTAGGAGACCCATCCATGTGATTCCTGTTCACGAACAGAGCCCCGAGTGCATTCTGCCCACTCCTCCTACGTGGCTGAACGAGCCACCAACACCGGCCAAAAAGTCCACCAGCCCTCCCATCAGAAGGGTCAGCAGTATAGAGGTGACCCTGAGGACCCCAACAAAAACGCCGCCACCACCACCAGTCAGAAGGTACTCGAGACAAGGGTCTGTGTCTAGCGTTGAGGATGAGGTGCTTAAAGCGCCAGCCAAGGTCGCCTCCTCTTCTACCAACCTTGAGGAGGCCTTGAACGAACTGGAGGAGATTTACCAAAGTCTGCAGTTGGGTGACGAGGACCTTCTGGACAGGGCCGAAAGGCGAGATTTGCCAACAGCATTCCAGTTGAGAAGAGGCGCCTCCTCAGATGTCCCGGACGATATGGTTATTTTGAGAAGTTCGGCCAGAGCTCCTCCTCTGCGTCGCTCAGGAGTCCCCGATTTGGTTAACGATGACATGGCCTTTCGGAGACTGAACAATCCGACGACCGGGCCTCCTTCCAAGGACAGAACGTCAGGCAGTTATCTTCTCGTTTCTCCGGCGCTCTCACCCATTCCAGTGCAAACCTTTGACCCTGAGGAGCCAAACACAACGTTCGACGACATGTCGTATCGGGCAATAAAAGATGCAAATCTTTTCAGCAGCAAAGTGCTCGACCCCCAACCTCCGTTTGGCATTCCACTCGCACCGGCACCGCCTGCTTCCAATAATGATTATTTGCACGTGAAACCCACAGACAAATACAGGCCAACATTTCGGCCCCGAAAGACTCCAGACGTGGTGAGCGACGATCTTGCTTTTCGCAATTTGAGAAAAGATAACAATAAAATGGGTGACTTGAAGCAAAAACGAGCAGTGCGATCTCTTTCAGCCAATTTAATGAATTTAATGGAGCAGAGAGAGGAAATCGAAAAAACTCAAAGTTTAGGCAACCTGCCAGAAACGTTACAGGTGCTGTTTGAAGGCACGGAAATGCGCACTTCCCCCGGCAGCCGGCCACCCCCTAGTTGGATTGAAAGAGCGCACTTGATGGACACAAGTACCGAAACTTTGACTCAGAGCAGGGCAAATTTGCGAAGTCTGAGGAATAGCTTTTTAACTTCCGAGGCCGAATCGCGTCCTCTTTCCCTATTCATGCCTGCAAACCAAATTTCCCCAATTAAGGAAGTAGTCTCGTCCGTTCCCAATTCCGCCTCCACCGAGTACTCTGAGCCCTTTGATGAGGAAAAACTGGAAGAACTGCTTTCAGCTTTGGCGCAGGAGGCCCAAGACACGAGCGAACGGCTCGGAAAAGAGCTGGAGCGTTTGCGAGACGGTTCTCATTCGGTGGAAGATCTCACAAAGTCGCCCACTTTGTTCCAAGGTAAAAAGAGTGTCGAAATTAAGTTTGAGCCTGTGGCGTCCCTGAATGCTCCGTCTAGTTATATGCCTGTGTATAATCAAACAGAGAGTGAAATTAACACAACTAAATCACTGCATGAGGATGTTAATAACAACCAAAAAACACAAATAGAGACTGAAAATGCGCCAAATTCTTTAACCAGCTCTGAGCCTGATGAAATTAATGTAAATTTGGAAGAAATCAAGCTCACCAGCTCGCAGTTTTCCCCAGAAAGAAATAAATCTGAAAGTCCCAGCAGGTCGAGAACAATTTCTGCGCAGAGCGAGTTGTGCACCATTGCTGAAGAGTGCCATTTAGAGGAAGAGGTTGAGGAAAATTCAAATGAAGTCACAGATTTTCAAGAGACCGATTTTGAATATTATCCTGCGGAGGAGCAGTGTGTAGAACAGGAATCGGCCATTTCAATTGAATTGCCAAGCAGCTCAGAAAATATTTTAATTGATGAGGAGGTTGATGCAAAAATATTGAGCGAATTAGTGCCTGATATAATTGGCGGCCATACGCAAATTGCAGAGCCCGAGTTTTTTGACGAGTCTTCTGCAGAGGAGGACGACCAAGTTTTTGAAGACCCGTGTTCCAAATTTGGGATCCCAAAATTGAACTTTGAAAATCTGAACGAAAACGAAAACGCCGAGTATGAGGAGGAAGACTTTGAAACAATATTTAACGAAAGTTTCAGTGACGATAAAAAAGATGAAGCGGTGCTAGAATTTGAAAATTTGTCTAGTTGCATATCTCTTGAATGTACTAAAACAGCCTTAAATTGTGAGCTTGTCCGTGTGCCTAGTGAAAACAGCTCATTGTGCCTTTTAAGTGACTCTTCCTCTTTGCTTGCGTTAAACGACTCGAACTCGAAGTTAAGTGAAACGATTTCGGACACTTCCGTCAACGTGCCGGACCCGGTGCTCGTTTCGCCCGAAAGTCTTTCTCAGTCGAGTGTGCCGGATATTTTGCAATCAACCGAGATAGATAATTTAAATAGTGACGCCACACTAAGTGCAGGCTCGCGTTGCAGTCCGGAACTGGGCGACGAACAGGAGGACATAAAGAGGGACGACGTGGAGGAGGTCGAGCAGTTCAGTCTGACCGACCACTCGAGCCTTTTGCTCCCTTTGCTGCAGATGGCCAGACAGGAAACAAAAAAGTCGAGCTCAACTTTCCAACGCACTGTTGAAAAACTTGACGCTCTGATCGCCGCGGCCAGCACGGACATGGACGATGCTCCTTGCGACTTTGAGAACAACAACTGCAAGGGCAGCAAGGACGACTTGGAGGAGGCGCCGGCTCCAGACGAACAGGAGGCAGCAGGTATTTTTGCGGCAAAAGTTCTCGGTCGTCATCAGAGCAGTCAGTACAGATTTGATGTTGACAGGCATAGTAGTATGACCGACTACTACGTTTTCCTGGGTGCCGTGTTGGCCCTGGTGTCCATCATCACTGCCATCGCCAACATGGCTGCCCGGTGAAAAAATAAAAAGAATTAATCACTGCACTATTTTCATAAAAATATAATACATATCACCAAAAATCAAGTTTGCTCAATTTCATGCATGCTGAAAATTTGTTAATTAAAACTCATTTTTAAAATATTATCATGTTACCCAAATCAAAATGTAGAAGTTAGTTTTGTAAGCAGGGTTGTTGCGAAAAGTGGCTGGTTTTTGTATAAAGAAATGCGCTCTTTTCCTCAACCTCATTATCTCACAATCAGTTTCAAAACCACACATAATTACGCACGCATCAATTATTTCCATTATCCGCACCTGAAGCTTTGTAAATATATGAATATATAAATAGCGCCTATATATAAATATTTAGAAAAGGCTCACAATAATTTGAATGGTATAATTCCATATTTTATTGTTTTGTAGAAATTGTAAAAATTTGAGTATATTATTATTATATGCAACTTGTGCCAGTGTTTGCAAGCATTGCTTTTGTAACACAATAAAATATATGAACACTAAAAGCATAATTCATATGCATTTTCTTATTCACCATTTTCAGCCAACACAAAATTTCAATCCTTTTGCATGCCCTTTTCTGAAATCAAGTGTGTGACATTTGTGATCTTTCTATTTTATAGGTGTGGTTAATCTCCTTTGTGCAATAACCAAAAATCGAGCAGGATACAGACTGTAATTTATTTTCATTAAAAAAAAATTCTCCCGGAGTGCTCGGATCATTCATAAAATTCTAGAAGTGATTTCATCAGGTAATTTTTTCCAATCATGAGCACCACTTTCTTGACAACAATTCACTTTTGCATTTTGGACGCACACCTTTGTTAATTTGTTAAAAGCACCGAAAAAAGTCTAATTTTTTTTTCTCACATCTTTTGAAATTGCACAACAGGCTTGCACAATTTCACATTTTTTTTACAAAGGGGAGAGTTTATGTAAAGAATTTAATTTCAATTTGAAAGATTTTCAGGGCTAATTAAAATGCGAGGCAAAATTATATTTTTTTTTGATGATTTCCAAATTATATAACTTTAGACAGTAGAAATCGTAGCTTCTTGTTTAAATAATATAATTTCTTTAAATAATTGCCCAAAATTAAAATAATATCTTACCAAAAACTTTAAAATGTGATCAATTTGCCAAAAAATATTTTTTAACTAATTGTTGTTAAAATTATTGTTTCTTCTTCAAGTGCTTTTACAAACACCAGCATAATTATGAATATAAAAAGCTTAAAACTGGGCATAATTACCATTTCCATTTTTTTCACAAGCTTCGGAGAGTTTGAAGATGAGAATCAGATGAGAAATGTTCTTGAGTCTGTCTGGTTCCGTGCAAATCCACGTTTTTTCCATCAAAAAAATCGTAGGCCTATCGTTAATAAGATATTAAAAACATAATCAATTATTTTAATAAGGGTTTTTTTTTGTAAAATTTTTGAAACATCGGATAAAAACCACGTGGTAATTATAGGGAGAATGCCCTGCATACACAAATTATGACTGAAAAAAGACTTTTTGTTAAATGAATTTATCATTTTCAAATTTAGCGTAATCGCTTTTAGCAACAATTGAATCATACCTATACCTCTAATGCTGATGACCGTAATATTCGCGATGCAACCGAAATTTCCGGAAATTTCATAAAACAAAACAAAAATCGAGTGACAAATTTTGTTGGACAAATTCTTTGCTCTGCGGAGACAAGAGACAACTGCGAAGCGACCGGTGCTGCCACTCTGCGGCGGGCGGCGAACTAGGCTGCCGGTGAGGCTCCTCCAGCTGGGGATTTGCTTTCTTTGCCCCCACCGCGTCGTGTAGCCCGTAAACTCGGAGGAATTCTCGCTGGCCGTTGCTTTTGTGCTTTGTCTCGCACGTTAGTAGAAACGAATCAAATCAAGCAAGTTGGACGCAAGCAAGGCTCGGCCGCCGAAGCGAACGTCAGACCCGAGTGTCCGTCGACCGACACCCGTCCTGAAAGGTATAAGAACTTCAGCAAAACCGTGCTTTTCATTCTTCGAGAACAAAACAACCACTTGTTAGTCGGACGTGAATTCGCGAAAAACCGATCAAAACAACCAAGTTCGTTACGATTTCGGACACATGCCGTTTCTCGTGTCTCTTTTATCTTGGCACAGAGACTGACAGACACAAAGCCTTCCCAGGGCTGCCGAATCCTTGAAAGTGCCTTGTCGAGCACACGAATATCGTACTTTCGCATGTTGATAAAAATAAACGGTCTTGCACGACTCATGCACAAAAACAAGGCAAAATAATGTTTTTACAGATGGGCCGAAGCATGAAAATCGAGGAAAGAGAAATCGTCCGGTCGAGCCGTGCATAATCGGCTGATTCATTACCACCTGCGTCCCCGTTATGTATCCTCTCTTCATTTATTTAATTTTCTTCCCGGGGCATATTATCCACGTGAATATCTTTTTCTTTTCATTTACAAGATACAAAGTTATTTGTCAGTCGAGCGCGGTGTTATTTGCGTAACTTAATCATCGCTTAACAAGCTTACAGATTAGTGGCTAATTGCATTTCGCACAACAGGTATGCTCACTTACTTAGTCGTTCTTCGTCGTGTTCAATTCAGCCCAAAAATTTGGAATTTTATTTTAAATGGACGGAAATAAGCGGGTAAAATTTCAATAATTTTTTGCAAGCAAGAGACAATTTAAAAATTGAAAATTAATAAAAAAAATTTTAATTCGATCAGTAAATTTTTTTCAACAATTGCAGGGAATTTTTAAAAAAAATTTAAAAGTATAAATTATTAAAGAAGACTGTTATTGAAAATTTTTAAAAGCAGAATGTATTGAATATATGGAATATATTCAGATTTTATTGAAATGTACATTTTTCTATCAAAGTTCAAGCGTGAAAACAATCAAGAATTGAGAAGGAATTGTTGGATTGATAAATTCTTTAATTTTCGCATGATTTGTGCCCAATCAGAACGCTTAGCAACAATACAAACAAGAATACTTATTTGCTCTGATTGTTCTGACGCATCAAACATTGACAATACAAAACGAATTTTGATTGTTTTCAAGCGTTTTGATGGATTAACCAGAAACCAAATAGCTAAAAAAACAATGAAATCGTGTATCATTGTCAATTAATTAAATCGTCCTTGCTGCAGTAGAAGCCATTTTTGGTAATTATTGGAAATTTTTTAACACCATTTCTGCAAATAATTAATTTTAACTATTTCAATAAGGAGTCCTGCATCAATTTATTTCAAATTTTACTTTCTTTGCTACTCGTATTTCATGAAACTGTACAACTATTTTTTTTTTTTTTTATTTTAGCCCTGATTAGTTAATTTTTCGATAATTGTATGTGAGGATCTTTGCTCGCACAATCCTCATAGAATTTTTTATTACTTAAACATGAGAAAGGCCAAAGTTAGAATTAATTTTTATAAGATTTTACGTTGATTCAAAGAACAAAAGTATTGACAATAGAATTTAAATGCCAAAATTTTTAACTTTCACTCGCATCCAGATTATTATGCTTAACATTAAATACAAATTAATTAATAACTGCTTAATTAAAGCAAACATCAACGATTGTTGTTTACTTTTTGTCAAAATAACTTATTACACCCTGTCTTATTTTTATCTAATTACTAAGGCTCTTGATGAAATTTTAAATTTTAATTCATTTATTTTGTACCAAATTGGTGTTTTGCTTTTTTTTAATCAAATAATTCCATTGACGAAAATTCAATCTTTGGGCCTCATGTCTTCCAACTTGTACTTTAAAGGCAATATAATAATACCCCTCTTCTGTTCACTTGAATGCATATTATGTGATCGAGGGAGACAAAACTGGCTCTGCAAAAGTTCACCTTGGATCGTGCGACAAAATAGCCTTATTTGCACGACTGGTGCTGACCATTCAAGGAGCGGCGCGATCGCACCGCAAAAGTCGCCACAGCCCGATGCCTTCGTTGCAAATTTTCGTTCATTTGCCTTTTCCATCTCCACGTTTCGCTCCGCAAACTTTGGTAATGGCGAAAATGTATATATAATTTTTCATTACTTAATTCGGCTAATGAAGTTGAAGAGGACAAACGAAGCGTAACGTTGAGTGCGTCAATCTTCTTTTTTGGCACTTTGTTCGAAAAACTTCCGCAATGCATTAATAAGACTTTATTGTGAGGACCTGTTGAATAATGAGTCACACGCATTTGCTTTTGAGAAAATTTATATATATCCTCTGCGCAATTCTAGTTAAAATTAAGCAGCTCTATTAGCCTTGCTAATTGCAAAAGAGATAAGAAATGCCGATGGTCTTTAGTTTTGCATTATTTAAATTTGAAACCAAATTTTAAAGGGATCAATTATTCAAAAGTAAATGCTGGTTGATAATTGGCTTTACCTCGATGGTTTTGATTTTTTTATTCTTTATGCCAATGTTTTTATAGAAGTACAATGAAATCACAATCTTCTCAACATAGAAAACAGAAAACCAAGTTTAAATGCAACCAGCATGATTATTAATTTCTACTACGAGATATCAATATAATTTTTAAGGATATTTCATAGAAAGATAAAATCATAAAATATAGGCCATCAAGATCAAATTTTTGTAAAAATTAATGTGAAAATTGATTTTACTTTAGAAAATTGTTAAATTTGCAACTTATATTACCAGTCTTTGCAAATTTTAAACAAAACTGCTCGCCTGTTTGTGCACGATTTTGTCGTTTTGACTGAAATAATTTCCCTGGCAAGCATGCGTGGCTTTTCACACTTTTGTAAAGCATTGCTTTGCTAACATAATACTCGTCCTTCCCAGTTTTCCCGTTTGGCCGGTATCGTGGCAACTCTCGCGGTTTGCTCGCTCGTACATGTGACCGTCGTGTGTGTGTAAATGTGCACATGTATACCCAGATAGAGGCTGAAAAGTGACCCGTTTTTGCGGTCGATGGGCATCAAAAACAAAATCGAATTTCACGCGCCTTTTGTGTATGCCTGTCTGCAGGTCTTGACCGCAGTTTTCCTTCAAGCTGGAGACGAGATCCTTCGCAGTCTGCGTTCAGAACGCCTCCAGGTAAAAAAAGGAAAAGAGAAAAATAGAAATCGTTGTTTTTTGTGAAAAGCGTCCTTTGGCATGCAAATTTTGAGCCGTTTGCTCGCTTTAAATCAGCTTAAATAATTCAAATTATGCGAATTCAATATTTATGTATTAAAAATATTTGTAAATTTATATTTAAAAATTTATAAATATTTTTTTTAAATAATTCCTCTCAAATTAAAAAATATTGCCCTGATTTTGCGCTAAATTTTAAACTAGAACTGCTTTTTTAAATTAAAATAATTGAAATAGCATAATATTGTTATTCAAAATAAAATAAATTAGCAAATTGTGATTTGTGCAAGAGTTAAATACAATAAACCTATTTTTCCTCTCTTCAAAATAACAGTGCACAAAATTTTATCTGAAACTTAATATTTGACAATTTTTGTGATGTTTATAAAGTTTCACTGAAGTTCATGTTTTTATAGAAATTTATAAGTATTTTCATACAAACCAGCTTTTTCTCGCGTGTCACTTAGAAAAAAATTACTGGAGCGGCTGTGATTAGCGTAATTGTTGCCGGTCTGCTAAATATAAAAATGAGGCAGAAGAAATTTGGTCTCTCGAGTGGATCCGGAGAAGCATCAAGCCAGGCGGCGTGACAAATCAAAAAATGTTTGGAATCCAAGTTCATTAGCGTTCGAGGACAAGCAAATAATTAATACAAAGTGCACAATTCAGAATTCAGAACAACGTCAAAACGAGAGAAACGCGCGTATAGCAGAATTCTGTGGTGCTAAATTTATTCAAAAAATTAACGAGCATTGTGTTACCGCAAGTCCAAATAGGGAAACTCGAATTAAAACAAGCGGCTCGCGGCAGTTCGACGGCTACGGAGAGGTTTTCAAGAGCGAAATACGTCATCGGAATATCAAGTGTCGCCCTCCGAGAGAAAAGTCCCGACGCTTAGTGCAAATAAATAAAACGAGCAAAAAAAGAGGCAGAACTGCTCTTTCCACTTTCATGGGTGCTTGCCTGCCCACACACTGATTATGTGAGATGCCATTTCAAATAAAAATGCCACACCGTTTTTAAAAAATTGTAAATTTGGAACCAATCAAATATTTGTCCTTAGCACACTGAATTGAAAAGTTGACAGCCTCGAATTCAATCACACCTGAGATAATATTCCAACATAGTTTTTGGTAAAGGTCACTAAAATAATACAAAATTAAGGTGCTAAAATATTTGTTAAGATACAGAACTCGCTTGGAAGCAAATTGAAAAATGGATAGTTCTATAAAACAAAAATATTCATACTTTCAGCAACTTCCGTGATTTTTGTTTACCAATAATTAATTTTCTTTTAAAATTGTCATCATTTTAGATAATCTAATTTGTAATTATTAAGATTTTACCAGGATCAATTAAAACAGACTCAAAAAAATTATTGTTAATGTTCATGTTATGTAAATGCCTTTTTTGAACTTTAATTAAGTTAACTCTCAACTGCATTATTATCTTCAATTTGAAGTATCCTCTGCTTATCATAAAATTTTAATGCGCGGCACTGGATAATTACGATAAAAAAGTATTGCTCATCTCTGCACTTATCTCAAGACGCACCACCCTGCATAATTGATTTCCTTCACTTTTGAAATAACAACAATCACCGTTAACAAAGAGAGCTTTCAAAACCAACTTCACCACCTCACAATAATTTCATTTTCATCTCACTTGCGATGTCACAACACCGGCGCGATCACAATCAGACCGTTTTTATTATTTTACGAGCGATACCATCTAGGCTGCTTTATCCGAGCAGTGAAAGTGCATGCGTTGAAAAATGTTGTTATCTGCATGCAACCGCATAATAAACTCTGTTTTAAAGCAGGGATTAAGGCAAACCTTTTGTCTCACTCTGTTGTCTCTTATTTCCCGCAGGCCACCGAAGTCCGTCCATTCGAAATGTATTCCAAGTAGCAGAACCCTGCGTCGAAGCAATGAACTCCCAGATCAAGGCAAGGTGAGATCACCGCCGAATGAACTCATTAGCCAACTATTTATTATTATAACTCTTGTTAATCCTGCTCTTCCAGGGAAAGAATCAGACTGGCGTCGATCAATTCGAACGGCAGCCCGAAAATCGATAAGGCCAACTCAACGTCTCCGTCCAGCTCGTAAGTTTGACTCACGAGTTCTTCATTTTGTTACAAAACTTTTTCTCTTCTTTTCCTTTTCCCTATATTCCAAAAGATGTCAAATTGAAAGTAGAACAACCTTTGATTTACCATTAGTGTAGTTCCTGATAAGATATCAATATTGTAACCGGAATCAATTTTATCTTTTAAAATAATGTGGATATTCAAATATTCGTACAACTATATATACCGTGGACTTTTTGTTCAGGCAGTTATCTCACCTGTTATTTATTCTAAATTAAAACCGATGACGACAAAAACAAACCGACTATGTAATGTCTTTACCAAGAACAATCCGCCAACGCCACACCTGCTAGTTGTTAAAAATTAACTGCTGGCAAGGAGAGTTAGTTAAAATAAATATATATAAATCATCTCACGCGGTGAGTCATGACTGTTTATTCCCAAAGTTGAACGCTTGGCTTTTGAAACTCTGTAAAATACGTTCGGCTTTTAAATTTTGCTGAAGATTTTTTTTTGCAAAACAAAATTGCTTGGATTTTAGCTTTCCGTCATTTTTATTTGTAGGTTTTTGGGTTTTTTTAATGCTTGGCACTTCTAAATTGACAGAAAATGTTTCAGTGGGCTGGAAAATGTGGACAAGAGTCCAACAAAGAGGATTCAGAGAAAAACCTCTGAGATTGTGGCGCCGATCCGAACGACGCGAACGTCCAGACTGAGAGCAGCAGCTGCAAATGCTTCGTCACCGTCCAGCGAGTCAGCATTGTCAGATAGCAAGCCAGTGGTGGCTAGAACTAGAAGCATCACCACTAAGAAGCTGCAAGTTGACTACCCAGACTCAAGTTCCTCCAGCAGAGAGGTGCAATTGAAATATAATATATATTTTATTTTACTTTATTTTAAACAATCAATGATTATTTCAGGGAACACCTTTTAGCAAAAGTGTAATTAGCAAGCCTGATGAGAGAGACAAGAGTGCCAAACGGAAATCAAGCCTCAATAGAGGGCATGCAACTGAAAAGACTGGACCCTTGAGCAGTGGTGAATCAACTACAGGTATAAAAATTAACATCTCACTGTTATTATTCTTTTAATAAATTGATTATTATTATTTGATAATAAAAATATGATATATCTTTAAATGAAAGTGATCTAAGAAGTAGATTAGATTTTGTGGTTAACTGATTGATTTGCGAGAGTAATTTCATGACAGCTGAGCAGTTTGTTGCAAAATGGGTTAAGAGGTCGGCGCATGAATCAATAAGTTTATAGATAGCAAGGCTCGCCCAACTCAGCTGCGCATTGCACTAGCAAGTGCGCTTGCAAGAGGCATGCCTGAGCATCGCTTAACAATGAGCGCACATCTGACCAAGATTTGACCTTGGCATGCATTTTTCCTCCTAATGCTTATTTAGTCTCCTGAATTCCTTTTGGGTAATAATGAAATGAGAATGATAAATTGAATTTCCTTTGGTTGGAAAACAATAAAAATCCCTTTTCAAACGAATTTTATTTAAAATGTTCTTCTCATTTGAAGCGAAAAAAAATTTGATTGTAATTAAATTAGTTTGAATATTGTTTGAACATTGAAATATTGGAAAATTTTCCCTGGAGCTTTGCAAACTATTGTCCCCAGCAGTCCCCGTACCAACTCCTTATTTTACCTCCCACCCCACTACTATTCAACTGACACAAGTGAGGGAGAAAGTGTTTTTCCCTTTTGCAACACACTCCCATCAGCTGTGTGCACCCCGGCAGTCGTGTGCTCTACAATTGTCTCACTTCTGGGTCAGGCACTGGAATTTCTCAATTTTAACACCACGCCTTACGTTATCAATTTTTCTGCGGAAACTTAATCCTGTTTGCTATTTTACTTCGAAACAATTGAATCAATCAAGATTAAATTTTTTTCGTAAAATTGTTGTTTGATGTTTTTTTTATATTTAACAAAAATAGATAAGTAACCCAATTTTTTAATTTATGTTCCAGATGAAAGCAGCAGCAGCAGACTGAGAAATAGAATGGCACCCTCTCCTAGATCTGCTGCAACTTGCAGGACGCTCAGAAACACAACCAACCCGCCGTCCTTGAACCAGAATCACAAGGCCATCAATGATCTTCAAAAAGTAGCAAGCCAATCGAAAAAAAGAGAAGACAAGGCCGAGCTATCAAAACGTGTGGACAGTTTGTTGGCCAAGGCAAAGGAAGGAGATGCAAGACTGGACAAACTGGAAGCTCGCAAGGCCAACAAGAACAGGGCAGCTCCACCCAATAGGAAAATAGTGCATTCAGCAACAAAGGAAAATGAGAAGAATGCAGAAAAGGCTAGAGCAAAAGATCACGAAGAAGACAAAACGTTGGACGACGAAGCGCCAAAGAAAATATTGGCTCCGAATAATTTGTCTGAAAAGAGCAGCTCGACCAACAGTGCTTTTAAGGCTGTTTCTGGCAATGAGAGAAAGACTTCGATTTTAAAGAAAAAATCTGTTGATGAATCATCAGGCCCAATATCAATTTTAAAACATGAGATCCCTGTGGTTCAGTCTGTTCCAACCAAGGCGCCGTCGTCAAAGCCGCAGAGTATTCTGAAGAAAAAGTCCAGCCTTGAAGAGCAGTCCTGTGAAGACAGGAGTGGTGAGGAGTTGGACGACGAGCCTCAAAGTATTCTGAAGCGGAACACCTCATCTAAAAGTAAAATGCACACCATTTTAAAGAAAAAGAGCTCAGAAGAATTATTGCCAGACGAATTCGTTGAACCAAGACCTATTCTAAAGAAAAGGCCTAGCACCGAAGATGAAATGCTTTCATCGAATGAAGCAGATAAACCAAGGCCAATCCTCAAGAGCGGCCGCAGGTCTGCAGAAGGAGATGAGTCTAATTACTCTTCGGCAACCTCCAGTCCTGTCAGAAGAAGCCCGTCTGTGAACGTGGAAGAAGGCGTTATCAGAAATCAAGTTAACCTGACGCTAAGGTTCAATCAACCTGAGCACGAACCAACGCCTATTCCTGCGGAAAGGTAAAAAAAATACCACACATAAAATGTATTCCCACTTCCCATTGCTTTTGAGCTGACAACATATTTTCAGTGGGGGAATGATAAAATATGAGAGTGACTTCCTTTTGATAGATAGGACACTACAGTGAGGTTAATGTTATGGAATGTCACGGGTTCTGTTTAGTTCCAGCAGTTGTTTAATGTTAAAATAATGCTCAAAATGAGGGAAGCAAAGTTGTTTTTTTGCAATTTAACTATTCGTAAATTAATTTTTATTTTTCGTCACAGTGCCTGCTTGAGTGCCTCTGAAGATGAAAACTCCAGACCAAGGCCAAGTGTCAGTGAACGAGCTCAACTATTCATGAGGCTCCAAGAGATGCACAAGTACCCATCCAATGACACTCCAACAGCTTTGAGAGCCACTGACGACTTGCCTGCAACCATCACCACAAGAAGGTATAAAATTTTTAAATTTTTATATCAAATTTTTGATCAATTCCTATTTTTACTGTAGAGAAAGAGCCAGGAGGTTCTCAACACAGCCTGTCACCTCTGAGGAAGTAGATGAGGCCAAGAGCCAAATCAGTAATCCTCCGGAACCCTCTGTTTCTATTCCCACTCCTGTGTCACCAACCGGCGACTCGGGTAAGTCCATGGACACCTTAGGAAAAATTTGTTTCATGTTTAGATAGCACTGAATGTGATTAGTCCTTATCTTTTCTTTGTCATCAAATTCACGCTAAAGGTCTTGAGCATGATGATCGGGACCTTTAATGCACGGTCGAAAAATGTGTTGCATGTTAAGCATGAACGGGAGGCATCAAATTATTTCAGATGAAGACGAGGATGAGCCGTCAAGCCTGACGTTGGCGGAAAGAGTGCGTCTTTTCACGCAGAAAATTGAGCAGCAGAGGCGTCAGCCAAAGGAAGACCAGGTGGTTCAGAAGAGGACAGTCAGAAGACAGGTCACTTCAACCCGTTTCCGAACTTTGCCTGTCACAGATGCTGAGGTTGAGGTGTTTTCAAACACCCTTGGCAGTCACACTCAGCCACCTGGCTTAGGTCAGATTATTTGTCCTGGGTGTTGGTGCAGTTCTTGCTTGCCTTTGGTGTCTTGTCATGCTGCTGTGTTGTTTGATAAATGTAATAGCTGCACTTAGTTAGAGTTTTATTGGAAATGTTGAGCTTTACAACAGGGCAATTCAAAGCTTTCCCACTAGAATTTGATTTTCAATCATCATAAAATATATTGGAAAAGTTAAATAACTATTAAATATTGGTTAAATACTATCAAATACTGCCTGCTATTTTTAATTCAGAAAATTCATTATTTGAATTGCTCTTTATGTTTTAGCTAGTTAAATGTTTGCAAATTATGTGTTTTTAACAATTATTAATGCTAAAACTTGCGCTATTGAACAGTAATAATTTATTACCTGACTTAACAGCTTGTGTGTTACATAAATTTTATTGAATGCTTATTGCACCAATAATCTTATTTATAAACTTATAATTTCAGATGATTTGGTTGCTAAAGCTGTTAGAGAATCTACTCCATCGGAAGCAAGTGACGTTGATCAAAGGCCAAAAGGTAAAGTTATCTTGTATTATTTGATAAGAGCTTTGGCAAAATTAAATAAACACAACTCTTGTTTGCAGGCATTTTGAAACATGGATATTCATTTGGAAGCAGCTCTTACCCTCCGAGCATTGAAGTTCCGACACAGCCATCAGAAGATACAGACATTGTCCGTGGAATCCTCAAGATTCCTGCGTCTGTAATTGCGAATGCTCTCGGCAGTCAGCAGCAACCATCACAAAGTTCTGCTTTCAAGAGCGCCCTGAAGAAAGACTCGAGTTCGGAGGAAAAGTGCAACCTGTCTCCAGCTCGGAGCATTCTGAAAAGTGGCAAGCCTGAAGAGTGGACGGAATCTTCTTCCGAGGAGGAAATCAACTCTGGAGAAATCAGGGAAAACCTGGCCAGCATCCTGAATGATGTGGCAACTCAAGCCAAGGAAGAGAAGAGCCTCCTGTCCTCGGACACTGAATGCGACACCTCCTCATCAGGTGGACGTGAAATTAAAAACATAATCAGCAGTGCCATCGAATATCGGTAAGAAATTTAAAATTTTTATTATCATGAATTTCATAAACATTTTCTTAATTAAATATGAGAACAATTTTTACTTTTAAACTAATACTTTATATTTAGATCTCAATTCACACAAAAAAACTTGCTCGAAAAAAACGGAATAATTAAACTCATTAGGACGTTAACTAGCAAGTGTGAAAGATTGTTTTCTCATAAGCTTGCTGGAAGCGTGCCAGGCAAGTCTTGCCAGATTAAAAATAAGTTACCCACTTCCCTGTGTTTCGTTCCGAAGATAAGATAATGAAGAAAATTAGTTCTTAAAAAAAAAATGAACGATAATTTTTATGTGATCACTAGAATTTAACCAATACATAATTTAAATTGGGATACAGCGAATTTTTAATGCAATTTTTTATACGTAATCAAATTTTGGCAATATGAAATGTAATACTAATTTCCAATTTTTACAAGAAATTAATGCAATTCTGAAAAAATAACGCAGCCCATATCCAGAGCGGCGGCGCAGCTTCATGAAATAACGGCATTACTCAAAGCAAGCAAGCACTCGAACAGCCGCACTCGATTAGTTAGCAAAGCCGTGACCGATAGATAAGTCAGCAGTGCCGCTCTCAGCTCTCGTTCATTACCCAGCAGCAGGTACTGCATCCGTTCTGTTTGCTTTTTGATAAGTTTGTGGCGCAAAAGGTAACGGCGCAATTTTACTTCAGCTGCGACGTTTTGGTTTGAAATTTTTCATCCCCCGTGCTGAAAATTGCCGAGGATGTGATTTATCGCAACAAGTTTCGAGAAGCGCGCCGACAGGAAATCGTGCAGGTTTCTCTGTTATGCGCCGCAAATTAAAGTTTCGTGACTTGCGAAGGAGTTTGAAAACAAACCAGAGTGGTTCTAACTCACTGAAATAATTGGTGATTGCATTTTACTAACCGACAGAGGCGTCACTAGACGCACTTTGAATTAATTTTCGTTGGCCGTCTGCCTAAAGGCATCGGGCTAATTCATTAACGCGCATTTACATGCGAGTGTGAGTTGCGAGCCGAATAACCTTTCTCACCACTAACATCCACCCGATTTATTTTTGGTTTGGATGCACTGCACTTGATGCATCGCAGACCACGTTTTTCAAGTGGCCTGTTTTTAAACAAGCGTTGAGCTTTTCGAACTGACAATGAGACTGCCAAGACAGAACAAAAAACATTTCTGATAAAGATTAAGAAATGTTTTAATTATAATTTAAAATAAAAAGTTTTTCGAAATAATACCTTTTAATTAGTAATCTTTTGCAAATTTATGATACTTATAATAAAATTTAAAAAATATTCGAGTTTTTGGCCGTAATTAATAAGTTATCTTTTTTTTCTTGAATTGATGCTGCAGACGCAAAACGTATTGGTCGTTCTTAATTGTTTATCGCTTCTGCTATTTTCGCACGTGTCTCCGTTTTCAGTTTGGCACGCAGCGCTTTAATTTGATTCGAAGGGGAATAAAATAAAAATTTCAACTCGAGTGGAGTTCGCAGTCTCAAACTCCCGTGCGACTAGCGAATCGCGCGCCGCTTGCTCAGCAGAACACGCAGCAGAATTCAATCTGCCCACATAATACACACGAGAGCGTGTAAACAGAAACAGGTTCGGGTCTAAGCGAGACAAGTTGGTATATAGATTCAAGAACTGCATGCTTTGTGTGCAGGTGTGCATTAAAAAAAATTAAAATTTATTGCCACAAGTGCGCTATGAGCGACTTCTGTGCAGAAATTGCATCTTTCTTTGAAAATCCAATCTAATGCTTAAAGTTGATTATATTCTATTTACTTTGTCTCTTTTATGCAGAGGAAAATATTAAAATATAGTTAAAAAAGATTTTAAATCAATTGACTTTATCTTTTTTAATTGATTAAATGAGAAAATATTGGAAATTTTTATTTGTATAAACATTATTTTCAAGGTGCGAAGTCGTAGGGCTCCTTACCTTATTTGCATAATGGCTTTAATGGTAATTTGATTTCTTATTGAGACCTTGCTTTTTCTGTATTTTTTTTTTTTTATTTCATTTTATATTCAACCTGCTCAGATTTTTTATGCTCAACCTGTTCCATTCCTTTTAAACACCCACAAGCCGGCTCTTTTTATAAGACAGGTGCACAAAATCCAGCACCTCTCCCACTCACTCCGGTGGGATGCTTGGCTAGATAATTTTCTTACCTCTGGCAACGTCGACTAAAAAGGGATCATTGAGCCTCCTTATGAATAAAAAAGCTTATCTTTGAATGTAATAATAAAAAATCTAGTGGAATTCCAAATTTTTATATCCTCTTGAACATCTAAAAATCTGTTATAAAAAAACTAGTTGAAAATAATATTCTACTCGCAGATGTCACGTACGTCTCATTAAAAGTTCCGTCGGTGTTTTTCCTCTTTCAAGTTTGTCTCGAGAGCTGAGAATTGATTTTGTTTGACGACTCTCAGACGGCCAACCATTAATTATTTGAAAATCAAGCCGGTCTGCTTCTCGTCCGTCTCGCCTCCCAAAGTTCAAGTAATAACAACACACAGCCCTTTCAGAATGTGCTATTAAAATTTGTTATCGGCAGCAGCCCGTCTGCCTTCCTGCTGAATTGAGTAAAACTTAACCACAACAACTACGCTCCCCACCCTGTATCCAAGCCGCCGGCCCGGGAATCAAAGCAGCGAGATAAAAGAAAAAGGGTTACCGAGCATAAGAGCAGACAGTCGGTCGGTGTCCGCCGGCCATGTGCGCTGGAGGAGCTCTCGAAAGAGCAGCAGTAATTATATTATTGTTGTCCTGAGAAGTGCTGGATTACCCATAAAACTCGCTCTTGGGAATCTGTTCTCCGAATCAGCTCGCGTTGCCTATTAACCTCCTAGGAAAGGCTTTTTATATATAATTTTACTCAACACCAAGGATTAAATCACAGCGTAAGTTGGCACAATTTTGTTTTGGAATTTTACAACTACTCGCTTTTTTATCCTTCCGGCCATTGAAAGTTTTTGGAACAAAGTTTACGCCCTCTTTTGTCTCTAAAGTGTCCGTTACTGCTTATTGTAGTGCAATAGATAATGAATATTTTCTCAGAAATTTTAATCCTTGAAAACGGACATTGGAAAGATATCAGTAGGAAATAAATTTTGGAGTAAATTAACTTTTATTTTCCAATTTAGGACATGCATTTTATTATTAATCTGTTAATAAAATTAAAACTTCAAAAAATTGCTTTTATAAATGTAAACAAAGTTTCAAATTTCATGTATAATTTTTTTTCTTGATGATTTTTTTAGTATAAAAAGGTATATTTTTCCTCCTGAGCAAAAGCAGAAAAACACGTTGCGGAAACAACTTGTCCCTCATTATACGCATCTCCTATTCTTGAGCAATAAATCGTGACATAACTGCATGCACGCTGGTGCATATACATATTTATGTATGCATTGTGCCTTCTACAATTTCGAAATGCACGTACCGCACACGGCGTGGCTCCTCTCTAGCCTCACATCAGCCCGCAGCATGAAGCCCACAATCATTTTCAAATTATTTCAAATAACCACCCGGCGAGTCAATCGGAACTCCAGCGAGATGTGGCCTTGGGCCTCGTCAAATATTTTGTGTAAATTGCCCCGTCTGTTTATCCAGCAGCTCCACCTCGCATGTTTTTTTTTCTATTTGGCCAACCATTTATTGCAAAGTTCGTTGTGTACATTATTATTTGCGGTTAATTTTCTCCGCGAGGCAGCGCTTCACCGCAAAAGGAGAGAAAACATCCTGTCGCGCTTGACCACGCGAAATCGTTACAATTTTTCCACGGCAGTTTACTGGAGCTCGAAATCCGCTGGTCATTTTGTTTTTGTCTCCCAATATCACGCTTTCTGTTTGTGATTTCATGCTGATTTCGTCCTCTGATTAACTCCGAAATGTAGTTGTAAATATGAATTTTATTGGTTTACCACAAGGCAATCTCTGGTCTATCGATCAATATAAATGAAATTAGTTATTTTTGAAAAACAATTTTATAATTATTTGAAAAATTTAACAAAAAAAGAAAACTACTTAACAGGGGCAGATTGATATTGTTTAAATTTTTTAATTATAAAACTCTAGCAGAGGGGAATATTTACTTACAGCGTTAAAAAGTGAATTTAAATTTCCAGTGAATCACCTCAAGTGCCTATTATAAGACTTTCCTTAATAACATGACGATGACGCACCTGAGCGGTGAACGTAATTCACTTTGTGCAGAGCACACTAACCAAGTGCCTTGTGCAAATTAACTGTCCCCAAGGAACGCTTTGAAGTTACATCATTAGGCTTGAACTTGGGTTAAATTTGTCTTGCAGAATAATTTATCATAAATTATATTTGTGGACTTTGCACTTATAAAAGAGCCTGTTGTATAATAATTAATCTAGAGAAATAAATTGCAATTGCGAATATAATTAATATATGAAAAGTTGTTTATAATGAATAATGATATAAAGAGTGCTGATGTTGCTTATATACATGATAGTTTTTATTTTATTTTAATTTTATCATTAAAATCAGTTTAATTTTGGAAATTAGCTCCACAAATGATGGTATCACTTATTTAGTTTTTAAATCTGATATCAGGATTCATGTGTATACCACGGAAATAAAATTTTAAATATATTTAGCATATTAAAATTCGAGCCGATCATATTTGCAATAAATAGCTTCATTAATATGAATGGGAGTGCCTTTAGTCTCGCCGCATTGAATGCTCACAGGTGCGATTCAGGTGAGACACGAGTGAGGATTTCCGCCTGTGATTCTTACAACTAGTCAAGTAATTTATCTTGAAAGAAGCACCACTATTAAATTAAAATTTGAGTAAGAAAAAAAATCAAAATCATGAAATTTAAATTTTTTTTTTAAATTTTATCCAAACTTTTGACATTAACTGATTATTCTTATCAAATGATATAATATGGTTGAATATAAAAAGCCATCAGCTTATGTAATTAAAAATGAATAATTATAAAATTTAGATTCCGTTGTAATAGAAAATTTTATTCTTGGCCACGCACTTCCCGTTTCGACGGTAGCGGCGTCGAGATAAGGAGATCACATTCGTGCCGGCCACGTTTTGCATATTATCTTGTGTAATAAAACAGCAACTCTCACTCATTCACCCACGGCAAGTTCCACCCAAAATTTGCCCCCCTTCCACGCTCCCTCCTTTTTTTATTGTAATCGGCAGCGCAAACTATGCATTGCCAGTGAGTAACAGCTGCAGAAAAACCAGCAGTTGACGAAGGGAGGGAGGGCCTCAACTGAAACGAGCGTACGCTTAGACCACGTTTGGAGTTAGTTTTATTTTGGTTGTGAACCCTCGTCCATGTAACTTGTCTCCTCGAAGTCTGCCATTGCTTTGTTAACACCAAGTTAGGGGGTTCTGTTCGATAATCTATCCAAAGAGCTCTAAACAAAGGTACTTTTTCCGCTTCATTATAATAATATTACTAATTTTTTCCTAGTTTAACAATAAATAAACTCTAATTTATTTCAAAATCATTATACAGAAATTCGAATAATTTTACTACTTTGAAAAATCACTTAAATTAAAATCTGCTGATTATGCTCATTTAAATTATTTATGATTTATAATTGAAATGTTAATGTTTCTTTGCGCATAACATATTTGCGCGCAGCTGCTTCGTGGCTTGTTTTGATTATGCAATTATAAACTCTGTGGAGGCCTTACAAGGCTGGGATGATGCAGCTTTGGGAGGCTGCGACTCGTTCATATATGAAAAGCGCGTGCTGTTTCCATACAAGCGACTTTCTCTCTCGACATCATCCGTGTGTGCGCACACGTTTGGTGTGTGTCGATGAACAAATTTTTTTCTTCTGCACAAACACGCTTTGTGCGCCACTCAGACGCAATTAAAAGTGCAGATTTTTTGCAAACACTGCAGCTGCTTCAAAGGAAAGATGTCATATTGTCTCGGCTAAGCAGGGGAACAACGAGCCGAGGGGCAACAAAAAACTTTACTTCTGTCTGGATGTCTTTTATTCCAGCATGTTAATTCACTCTGTTGTCGCATACAATTTTTTCTTTGATCTCGCGAAAAAAATTAATTTTTTGATATCATTTTATTAAAGTAAAAGTGGGTAGTTTGAAAACAAAATGCAGTGGAACAGATGTCGAGATGTCTCTTAAAGCAAGCACCAAACTTTACAGCCTTATTTGGTGTTTCACTCTGTGATCCTAAGTTCGGCCTTAAAGAAATATACAAGCTGAAGTGTGACCCTCAATATAAATTTTTTTTAATACCTCTCCTTGCAATAAAATCGGTTAAATAATTACATGCTGTTTAAAAACGGAACTTCTAAATTATTTTACAGATTTTTATTGCACAGAAAGAGTTTTTATTTAATAATATGCTAAAAATAAGCCACGCCTTGTCTGAGCGCATTAACGCTGAACATCTGTGCCTGTCATCTTCCCCTTCTAGACTCCCTTCGTCTTACAATCCTTTATCTCGATTTATTCCAGTCCTTGGGAATCCCAATGAATGGACCTTTCTTCCAAATCTCCCCAGAATTTCTATTCTTACTTATTCTGGTAGCTGTGCACATCTGCCAATACATTCTATTAACTCATTAGCTTAGCAATTGGCTGCCGTTTTGTTTCATGAAAGCGATTGGTTCAAGTTAATTGGTTTGATGTAGAGATGAAAGGTCAGGGAGAACTTGCTGAGCATGCGGCCTCACTAAAAAGGCATCGTTTGTATTGAAACTAAGTGCCTTTTTTGGCTTTATTATGTGGCACCATACTTTCAATTATGGTATATTATTGAAAATTGAAACATTAAAAACAAAAAGATTTTTATAATTAACATAAAGAGCTTGCCAGATGAAAGCAAGTAATAAGTTTGTAATTCAAATGAGCTTATCAATGAAAATATTCCTTCGCACTTTATTAATGTAAAGATAAACAAATTTGTAAACTGTACCTTGTCCTTATCTAACCACTGTTTTGATTTTGCAGAGACACCGTGGCGACGTTGACGGCCACCGCGGCCGCTGTGCACCAGCAGCAAGGCGTGGCTCCAGAGCAGGAGCCCAAGCAGCGCGCCTCGAGTGCGGAGGAGGCTTCGTCATGGGCACCACAACCCCCGTCAGAGTCGCCCAAGGTGGTCAAGAAATTTGAGGCAGTCATCAAAGCGGCCGAAAATGGCCACACCAAGAAAGAAACAATTTGTGTCACCAGTGCCACAAAAATGAGCATTGCAGAGAGGTAAAAATACAAAATCTAATTTCAATCATCCAAAATATTTAAGGATTCCTTATTGGCATCTGCAAATCAAGTATTTTCCACTCAATAGAAGTAATTATCAGCATTTATTGGAAAAACAATAAGTAAATTTAGCACCATTTTTTGTAAAGACAATGTGCTTATGGATATTGAAAGTGTTGATTGTTGTTGGCACAGAAATCTGTTTCCTATCTACCTTTTTCTATAATATCCAAAAGTGTTTTTTTTCAATATGGAGTCCTTAATTTCCCCATTCTTTAAAGGTAATTTTGGGTCATTAGTCCATAATTAATTAGAGGTATATTTTACTTAAAAGCTATCAGTGAATTAAGTATTCAGCTTATTGTTGAAACAGGATATCCAATTGTTTGAAAATATAACCTTGACCGCACTTCATTATCATTCTAAAAGTAAATAAGTGTTAACAATCAAGAAGTACAGATGAATAATCCCATTGTTTGGCGTTTACGGGCCAATGAAGTAAAGGAACTTCATGCTTTCACAATTTCCTAGCTGTTTAGCTCGTTTTTCCCTCTATTTAATCACTTATAAAAGAAGTGTTAATTTTAAACCAGGAGACCTGTTAAATTCCGACATGCCCCAATTTTGATGGTCGATCGAGCATTCAAGTAATTTATTTTTAAATTTTAGGCTGGCCTTGCTGAAGCAGAGCGGCGAGACGGAATGGAAGAAGCGTGTCCCTCGCGCCTCCCCCGTCGAGGAACGGGCGTCCAACGGCAACAACGACACCAACAACTACAAGGTAAGAAACGCTGCCAGCACGTGCTGTAGTGAGACACATTCTGACCCAAATTGCTTTTTGTAAAAACAAAGAGGAGGACGCTTTTTACACTCGTTAACTTCAAGTCTTTGTTGACCACAGGTGCTTTCTTGGTTATTTAGGAATCTCTTGCGTTTATGGCTTGTTAAAGACTTGACATTCTTGGAATCATTTTTCTTTGATATTTTTATGTTACAAAGAAGAAATTTCATTCTCTTTTTTCTTCAAATTATTATTATTCCTAAAAGACAAAATTCTTGAAGTGTTTTAAAATTAGTGGATATTTTTATATATATTTTTGATTTATATTTGCTATTTTTATTTACAATTCCATTGGAAAGTACTTGCTTGAAATTTAAGCATAATATTAGAGGCAGCGCTTGCAGTCTACTGTTAAATATAGTACAGTCGAGATTCAAACGACGGAATTTGTCGAGGGGTAGAAAGGCTCGTCCCTCTTCTTAATCACCAGCAGGCACCGGTGCTCTAGAATTTGACGCACTTGGCCGCCTTCGTCCCAAATTAATACGCACTTTCTGCCCCCGACCCTGCTGCCGCCGCTGGATGACGAAGATCCAACTTGAAGATCTTGCTGGTATTTTGAGCGACGCACCTGTTTTTTTCCCCGAGATTACCATCGGCAAATAACCCTCGACCAAAACTCAAATTGCAGTTTTTTTTATGTTATATCAAATGAAGAGCTTAAAGAGCTCTCATTGCCAAAGTACATATTTTTTATCTAACTCGATTACGCCTTGGTGTTGAATAGCGATTTCTCTAACTGCGAGAATGTACTTGTAATCCAATTCTTTTGACTCTCCTTCAGACGGGCGGTAATAAAAGTATGATTCAAAGCCGCGCAAAAGAAGAAGCAACGATCCAATCAACCTATTTCGCTGCTCACTGTGCGACGTGACGTCATTCGTTGAACATTCGGATGCTCGCATTACATTGGTTTTGCCATGCATGAAATTTTTGCAACTAGGTTTATTTGCATTCCCTGTCAGCAAGGTCTGTAGAAAGGAAGGCTTTCATTAAGGCGTGATGTAGGGGAAGTTTGCTTTTACAAATGTAAAAGGCATTATTATTTACTTATTATTTTATGCTTCGTTATACGTTCAAATAATTACATATTTAAAATTTGATTCGGGTTGAAATATCAGCAATTTCAGATTTAATCATTTAATAACACGATATTTTATAATTTTTAGGATTCCTTTTGAAATTAAGTGCTTATTCGGGGAAACAATTTAAGAATTTTATCTTATTTGAAATCTGCTTAAGCTCTTGTGATCCTGATAAGAAAATATTTTTTCTTTATACTTTAGTGCTCTCAATTTGTAAAATTGCTTTGGCGCACCGTTGTAATTTTATCATTATTATTGTTGATTTCGCACGTAGCGCATCCTCGGCTGTTTTTTTCCTCTCTCTTTTTCTTGAGGTGTGTCCACAAATAGGTTATAGCAGTGGTGGTGGGGCGGTGGCGGACTGGGGGAGCATTCGTCTGTTGACGGCGCCTTCGGTGCTCACGCTCTCCGGAGTGAGTGGTAGTAGCAGCCACACAACTGCCGCATCTCTCAGTAGTCAGTCCCCTGCAAAGTCGGTCGCTATGATTCTCGTGCTGCTGACGGCCGGCGGCGTCTTCCTCGTCGTCCTTTACAACCTGTTGTTCAAACGCAACGCCAACGACGATGACAAGACGAACATTCTGCCCATGTCTGAGCTCTCCTCGGAAACCAACCCTCCTGCGAGGAGCGAGCCGCCCGCCGTGTCCCGACCCGTGTTTACCGAGGTCAGTGCCGCCCCTCCGAGTTCTGAGACCAAACTGAATGTTGAATCGGTCGAAACTGTCCCGCAACCGGAAGTAGCCGCGAAAGAGACCCAAGAGACGTGGGTCATCGAAGCCAGCGAGTTGGTCACTCCGGCAAAAGACGAATGGAAAGCGACTGAATTAGGATCGCCCACGATCGCCTGCTGCTCGGCCACCCTGAGCGAAATTGACAGCACCCTGAAGAGGCTTGAATCAAGAATCACCAGCGTGGTGCAGGATTCTAATGAGCTAACCGCTGATGAGGAGTTGTACTTGCTGCAAAACACGCAAGACCTACTCGGCGGCGTGTCCGTGGCCGTTGCCGCTCCAGTTAGCAGCAAAATTGAAAGTACGGTAGTAGCAGCTGTCGGCGGCAAGGACGATGAGGAAGCCGCAAATATTTTGCACGAGGTGAAATCGAGCGCTGTGGAAACAATGGAAACGGTTCAGGCCACCGCCGCCGCACCACTTGTTGAAATCGCGTCCGGCGAAAGGGCCCCTGATTTGACAGAAATTGAGAAACAGATTGTCGAGGAGGAAATTAGGGCGATAATTGCTGACGCGGTTGAAACACTGGTGCCTACCCCTGTGACTGATGCCGAGCGCAAAGATGAACCGGAACCATCTGGAATTTTCCAAGCCACCCCCGTAACTATCGAAGCCTCTGAGGAACCAGCTGCTGTGGAAGTTTCTATTCCAGAAGAAGTAAAACCATTTCCAGTTGTTGAAAAGGTCGTTGATTCCGGAAATTCTGTGGAAACTTCTGCTCTTGGGGATATCCCTCCTCCTGCAGTGGAACCATCTTCTGAGGTCAGCCCTGCGGCGGAAACTGCTGCCCCAGTAGTACAAGAGCCCGTCGTCGAAGAAAAAATTGTCGAACCCCAACAGTCGAGCGTAAGTGAAATTGAGGCAGAGGTTTCAGATGCTTTGCAAACTTATGTGCCACCTGAAGTGGAGGAAATAAAAGTGGAAACTGTTGAGGAGGCTCAAATTGAAGCTGTAAATGTTGGAAGCAAAGTTGATGATGTAAAACTTGAGAGCAAAGTAGACGAAGTAAAACCCGTTGAGAGCGAAGTTAAAGACTTGAAACCTGTTGAAATCTTGGTTGAAGATGTTAAACCTGTTGAGAGCAAAGTTGAAGATGTAAAACCTGTTCAGGAAAAAATTGTCTCTGAGGAATTAACAACCACCGAGTCTGCACCAGTCTACGAGGAACTAATTCGTGACGTTCCCCTGGTACCACCAGTCACTGAGGTAACCGTGTTGCCCGAATCTTCTGAACCCTCAAAGGAATCTGTTGAAGATATCGCTCCTGAGAAAAAAGTCAACCCTGAAATTACCGTAACTCTTCCAGTCGCGGAAACTGAAATAAAAATTGAGGAATCTTCAATTGAACCCATTGAACCTGTAGTTGACGCCCGTTCTGAAATTATTGCAGAAGACGTTTTAACTACTGAGACTCAAGTCAAGGTTGAACAAGTCCCCGCTAAACTTCCTGGCACCCCTGACAACTCGCCGGAAATCTCTGTCAGTGTTGACGCTCAAAAATCAGCCGTGGATATCGCAAATTTAGACGAGGCAGCCTCTTCCGTTGTTGATTTGGTGATCAACGAGGCGGTGGATATTTTGGAAAAGCGCTTGACTGAGCAAAACGTGACTGAAACGCCGCAACCAGTCGTTGAATCAGAGGCGGCAACGCAGTTGTTAGTCGATTTGACCGAAAGCAGTCCTGTGACTCAAGCAAATAGCGAGCAGGAAAAAGCTATTGAATCCCTTGTGGAGCTCGTCATCGAGTCTCCTCCAAAAGAGCCTTCTGGCACTTTGCCCGCGAGCAGTGCAGACAAAGCTGAAATTCAGCTGGAAACTTTGTCTGCCGCCGAGCCTTTAATTTTGGACGAACCCGTCAGCAGCGTGAGCGAATTTAGCAGCGCCGCGGCCGAAGAAGTTTCCAAGCCTGTAGAAGTCTCAACGTCCCTTTTGGTGGACTTTGGCCAAGATAAAGAGTCCCCCAAGGAAAAGGAAGTGGATGACTTGGAGTCCTTTGTAGTGGTGCCTAAAGAAAAACAAATTACAGCCGACATTGATAACGTCTATACATTAATCGCCGAGTGCCAGAGCGATGATAAGGCCAAAGAGGACGCGACCAGCAGCAGCCAGAGTGCACCCTCGGCCACCCCTATTAATAGCCCGCTGACGGCGGCTATTTTGAATCCCGCTAACGAGCCCACCGGCACTTCAAGCGCTAAAGAATGATCAAGTTTTTTAATCTTTTTATTAAAATTAAGCACCTTTAGCTTTAAGAGAAATGCGGCAGAAAACCACCAATTTTCTACAAAAAAAATTTACATTTTTATTTTAGTCTTTATTTCTGCTTTAAAATGAAAAAAGCTTTTTTAAACCCACCAAATACGCTTCTCCTCTATTCTTCCTCCTGCAATCGAGCTTATGCTTTTTTATTTGTAAGTTTAAATAATGGGCTCCCTTTTCAAACTAATGCATCAACTTTTTGTCAACTTTGTCCACAGCCGTTGCAACAATCAAAGTCGATGCCTGGGTCAACGCGTGGAATTTTGGCCGAGAAATTAAATCAGCTGGACGAAGCCTCCAGCGACTGGAAAAAGAGAGTGGCCCCAAAGGACGCGGGTGATTTTTCAGTAGCAGGGCGAATGGGAGTAGATGGAGCAACAGCCAGTCCCTTCATGTCTCCAGCCAGAGAAAAGAGAACTCCAAAACCAGCCAGATTCAAAAGCAAAAAAGGTGACATTTTAATCCTGATGTATTTCTAGTTTAAAATAATAATAATAACATAATATTAACAATATCATAAAGTTGTACATTTATTAACTGTAAATGTTAAAAAGTGCAACAAGTGAAAAACATAATTAAAAATTAATTTATTGCAGAATGAAAAAAAAATCATTTTAAAATATCATTATTTTTAGATCGGAACAATCGAACGTCCTCCAAGGAATCGGACGGTGGTGACTCGTCTACCCCTGAGTCTCCTGTCAAGGAGGTAACGCTGACCCTCAAGCCCCCAGCTTTGGCCAGAAGCGTCTCGGCGCCTGATGCCCAGCCTGTGGTCAAGGTGCCCTCCATGACAGACCATTTGGACCAATTCTTCACAAGCACTGCCGAATCCATCACTATTGAAGCCGAAGACTTGCAAATTGAAACTCTGCCCGATGCCCAGCAGCACACTTTGTGAGTATTGGACTTGTTTATATTTTTCGCAATACATGCTAAGTAAAAGGCGTGACTAAACGAGCATAGACGAAGTCCTGCAAAATCGCCACTCTTCTATAATAACTCTTGTTTCCTTGCGTGTTTGCAGACTAGTAAGCCATAGAAAAACAGTACAAGTACAGAAGAGGCGGAACGCAACTCGCAACCCTCTAAAGACCTTGGCCGCCAGAACTGACATTGTGCAAGAGTACCAGGAGTTCCGCACCGGAGCTGCAGAGAGAGAAATAAAGAGACTGAACGTAGAAAAACGTAAGTGAAATCAAATTTATTGAAGCCACAGTTTTTATATTTAAAATTATTTTCACAGTGGCTAAAAACTCAAATCTTGCCGTCGAGGCCTTGGCCGGACTGGCTAGCAAGGAAGACTTCACTGCTGTCAATTTGAAAAAGGCCTCTGGGGAGCCTGTGGGCACCCTGCTGCCCTTTAGGGACCTGATGTTGTTGCAGGTGAAAGGCAGGCGCCATGTTCAAACAAGACTGGTAGAGCCAGTGGCCAGCAAAGTCAACCAGGGCGACTCATTTGTTCTCGTCACTCCTACTGCTGTAAGTTGCAAAATAATCCATTTCAATTTGATGGATTTAGTTTCAAAGTTGGCTCGTGTGACGTTCTAATAACCCTCTTAAGTATTTTATTACACCTTTCATAATGATGTGTTTTGATATTAAATATTGATTTCATTTGTTAGATTGGATAGTATCCAATTTTTTCCATTTCACTATATTTTATTTCATTTATTTTTTATAGGTTTACAACTGGCTTGGAAAGTTTTCCAACATAATTGAAAGGACTAGGAGTGCTGAAATCGCCCTTCAAATTTCACAACGCAAAGACCTAGGTTGTCTAAAGGCAGCTGGAAATGTTTTTACCATTGACGAGGCAAAAAATCTTGGCTCTCAGACTCACAAAAAAGCATTCTGGAAGCTGATTGGAGTTGAAGATGGCATTGGAGAAGGTAATTTGTAATTAAACTTTTTTAAACTTTATTTGATTTCTAATAAATTTTTTATTTATTCAGCAATGAAAGCAGGTCATCCAGATGAGGATGAAGAGTATGAAAATCTCATCTCTGAAACAAACAAAATCTGGACTGTGGAAGGTGACGAACTGATCCCTGTTGACAAATACTGGGGATCTATCCCCAAAATCGAGGTCCTAGATCCTAATAAAGTTGTCATCTTCGACTTTGGCTCTGAGCTGTACATCTGGAATGGCAAGAATGCCACTGTGGATGTTCGAAAATTTGCTGCCGAATTTGTCCAGGATGATTTGTGGGACTCTATTGACTACTCCGACTGCGACATAAGCCCCGTTGGTGACCTCAGTGCCAAACTTAGACCTGAATGGGCTATTTTGGGTAAACTCAGTCAGCACATGGAGACTGCTTTGTTCAGAGAAAAGTTCCTTGACTGGCCTGAGTTCAGCAGAATCATCAAAGTTAAGAGCAAGGGTGGCACCGAAGTTGATGGTTCGATCGAAATTCTGCCCTGTGATGCCAAGGAAATGGCCAGAGAGGAATGGAGAGAGCCTGACTTTGAGCTTGAAGGCAGCCATATTGGCAGAGGAGAACATTATTTTGATTCAGAGGTAAATGGTTTATTTAATAAAAATTAAAGATAACTTTAAACCCAAATCTTTGTAGACTCGGCGCCACTTTGAAATAGCAACAACTGCTGTTGAAGTCTGGCATGTGGATGAGTTCGAGTACCATGAAGTACCAGAGGTCTCCTTTGGTCAATTCCACGAAGGGGACAGCTACGTCGTTCGCTGGAGCTACTCCATCACAGTGAGTGGAAGAGAGCTCAGCGGCGCTCCGTCCAAACATGGAACTGTCGGACGCAATCGATGTGCCTACTTTTTCTGGCAAGGATCTCAGTCAAGCCTCAACGAACAGGGAGCAGCTGCTCTTCTTACTGTTGAGCTTGATAAGGAAGAAGGACCTCAGGTAAATAAATTTTTCTATAATTCATTCCACGAAATCTGCAACGACATTGATAAAGTTTTTTTTTAACTTTATTTCCTTTACAAAATTTATGGCATTACATTTTATTGTGAATTGTAGGTAAGGGTAGTGCAAGGGTCAGAACTTGCTGTGTTCAGAGGCCTCTTCAACGGCCACATGGCAATCCACCAGGGACGCCGTCAAGAACAAGAGCCTGCCAAGTGGCGATTGTTTGTAACCCTGACAGGTGCTGTGGACAAAGAGACGTGTCTGCTGGAAGTGGCTCCGAGTGTGCGGCAATTGAGATCGCGCAGCTCTTTGCTCTTGGTCGAGATCAGTTCGAGCAAGGTCTTAGTTTGGCATGGCAACCAGTCTCACAAGAAGATGAGGGCAGCAGCCATAAATGCAGCCAAGGACATTCACAAGAGGCCAGAGTTTGGGCTTAAGAAGGAAGCTTTGATTGAAGAAATTGAAGAGGGAGAGGAGCACAGTGAATTTTTCAAAGGTATTTTAATTAAAATCTCACTTTTTGTACAATACCAAAATATTATATATTTATTTGAAAATTTTAGGTCTTGGAGGCAACAACACCAATTTATATCACAGCTTACCGAATGCCGAGTGCCCTCCCGAGCTGAAACTTTTCCATTTTTCTTCTGCCTCTGGAGCATTCACAGTGCAGCAGTTGCTCAGTCAAACGAGGACCAAGGAGCCGTGCGAGGCTTTTCCATTTGTCCAACGAGACCTTTACGAACTGAGTCAGCCGGCTCTGGTCCTTGTTGACGCTGGAGTCACTCTGTGGCTGTGGCAAGGCTGGTGGCCTCAGGAGGATGGTGGTGATGACTGCACTGGTTCGGGAGCCATCAGGTGGCAGGCCGAGCGGAGAGCGGCCATGCAAACGGCCGTCAACTACTGGCAGGCCACCAGAGGCGACGCTCCGTTGAACGCCAACCTTGTTTGGGCAGGCTTGGAGAGCTTCGAGTTCACAAACCTGTTTCCAGACTGGAAAAATCACGATGATGCAACTGAGAGCAATATGAAGGTAATTTAACAATTTATTTTTTCTGTGCATTCAGAAAAAATGCGTATTTAATTTTTATTGATATGCTCACTAATTATTTTTCCCAGAAATGGGGATCCATAGCAGACCATTAATTTTATTTTTTAATTAAATTAAGCCTAATTATTGCTTATATTTCTACAGGATGGAAGAAAGCCTGGTGAAACCTTGAGCGTCGAAGAGGAATTGGCGCGACTGACTCAATCAACTTACCCTCCAGCCCAACTTTTGCAACGTCCATTGCCTGACGGAGTTGATCCGACCAAACTGGAAGAGTACCTAGCCCCTGAGCATTTCGAGGTATGTTGTAATTTAAAGGAAATTAATGCAAGCTTTTAAATTAAAAACCACTCAGGAATTGCTGGGAATGTCAAAAGAAGATTTTTGCGAGCTGCCAACGTGGAAGCAAACCAATCTGAAGAAACAAGTCGGCCTTTTCTAAATGTTACTCAAGTTAAGTTTTCTCATCAGAAGTGCCAATGCAGAAGAACTGAATATTATCTACCGCCTCCAGTTTTGTTTCCTTGATCTTTGCCTAACAAGTCGAGTGCTTTTTGTGATTCAAAGTCTGTGATTTTGCATTTTGTCTCTGTTGGATGGTCTAAAAAACCAGAGGCAAACACCAAGGGAGAAGGAAAACGTCTGCTGCTTTGAAACAAAATCATCACAAACAAAAACAAAATTGCTCTCTCAGCCTAAATGTAATTTCCTATGTATACTTGCACGGAAGAAAACGCTGGCCTATTACACATAATTGTATTTTCTAACACAAGGAGGAGAGTTATAATGAACAAAAAAAATTAATATGAGAATTTCCACATTGCTCGACTTTAACCATATTAGTAGATAATATTCTAAATTATGATTGTCCTGCTACATTATTATATATTTTATTAAAATGGAAAGAAAACCACACAACTCATGCTTTATATTTTTAATTTATTCCTCTCCGAAAATACTTAGAAATCAATGAACATATATGCATTCCACTCTCTGAATGACTGGTCCGTAACAAAAACAATCTCGGCAGCTTTGAGCAAACTCAAAAGGTCAATCTGTGTCTCGGAGCAACGCGTGAGGCAACGCACACTCACCCTCCATGATCTGTGCAAACATAACTGCGACAAAATAACAAAATTCGTCACCGACCAAATTTCAATGAACCGCCTCGTTTCTCAACACGACTGGAAATTGCCAGTTTTTCAACCAAATAGTAGTGGGACGCATAAAAGGGCGGCGAGCGTGGAAGTCGGCAGCAGTTGTCGCCCTTCGGCTGCTCACGACGCTCGTGGAGAGATGGACTCGCCAGTCAAGACCAACAAGGCGCGCCTGGCCAGGACTCGGCTGGTCCTTGTCCTCGGCATCCTCTCCATCATCATCGGCCAGATAGGCAGAAACGGTGATCGTCGGCGGCCACAACTGGCCGCCTACGTTAGGCCCAACAGGCCGTCCATGTTCACAATCAAAAGAGGCAGCAGGTGAGAAAAAAATATTCAAATTAATCTCATTTAACTTATAATTTGTTCAGATTTTCTTCATAAAGTTTTTTAATAGAATTTAATTTATTATTCATTACATAGTTAACTTGCATTTATCAATAGAAATATTGAAAAATAAAACAAATAAAAACGTTTTTTAATAACAAATCTGTATTTTTCTCTCTCACAACTATTCAATTAAATAAGTAAAATGTAAATTCTACTACAAAGACTTTTTGCCTGTGAAAATTTATAATTTTTTGCTTCGCTCTGGCCATAGCTTTCCTGCTTAACAGCAGAGATAAAATAAAAGTTTTTGCTTACAAGCAGTATAATTTCGTATATTTATCTACTCCCATCAGCATACTTGTAAAATCAGAATGCAAACAACAATGAAATCATGTTCTCAAATTTTTCCGTGCTTATTTTTTTTTTTTTTATCTCTTTTTCTCCACCTAGTATAATGATAAAATTATTTATTTACTTAAAGAAATCATAAATCTATAGATGTTGCCGCTTATTGTTTCCCCTCTAACAATTGTCTTTCTCTCAAAGTTAAACAACACATAAATTGAAACAAAATTTCTTATTTTTTTAAATAAAATTTTCAAATTTAATTTAAACTATATTCGCAACGCAAAATATGCTTACAATGTTTTTATTGCTTTATCATATGATATTATATTATAAATAGTTTTTATATATTTTCAGACTGATTGTCAATATTGACGACTTGGTGAACAAAACTTCAACGGAACCTTTCACCATGAAACAGACGACCGACCTTGATCCATTGATGATTTCTGAGATGTTCATTCAAAAGGACGCCTCTCGTCTTTGAGGGTAAAATGCAAACAAGCTATGAGAATGGAAGTCCAATAGAATAAGCTTATGAAAAAACGGATTTTGTAAATCTCATAACATTTTAAGTAACCAAATCGGTAAGAAATCACAAGAGCGAGAGAGAAGTAGAACTGAAGTAGAAGTCGTTTGCAAAGAAATAATGACAAAGCAGTGCGAGGGCTGCGATTTTGACACGGATTTGACACGCGCCAAGAAAACAAGATCACAGGCGCATCCACGGTTCATTGTAATAAGACATAAATTTGTGTTGGGTAAACATGGCTCTTTTTTGTGAGCGTCCAATATAGATAAACAAAATGACAAGAAATTAAACAAAAAAAAATGACGATTTTTAAGAAAGAATTAATGGTGTTAGACATTTAAGAAAAATAAAATGCACACTTTATTCTTAAAATAAATTTCATCTTGTTTTATTATATTTTTTACTCTTCTTCAGACTACAAAAAATTAATAATTTAATCATATAATAATTTGAAATTCTAATTATGGTGCAGAAATAAAAGTTGAGAGAATATTATTTTAATATAGAACAGTTTCATCTTTTTCTATCAAATATGCAAGGAAATATTACTTTCATGGGAAAGTGTTCCCTTTTTGAACCTTGCTCCTACTTTTCCTCAAACTCCTTGAACCTTTCCGAGACAAAGAAGTGCTCGCCATTCGGACAACCCCACTCATCTTGGCCTCCCTTCGGGCCACCTTCCCGGTGGCCACATCCAGTCCGCCCCTGGTGAGTTGGTTGAAGTCGATGATGGTGAGGCACGGACTGCGACTTCGCTGCGGCGTCCGGATGACGGCCGCCTCCGGAACTGATGCGGCCACTCTGCTCCGTCGGAGGTTTGTCAGGCGACATGGAAACGGATTGAGATGCGCGTTGTTGACGCTGGACGGAAGTTGCAGCACGTTCTGCAGCGGCGCCTTGGAGGCGCGCACAATCATTTTTGACGCCGTCTCGTCCAAGTCGTCGTCCGTGCTGGTCACAGTGGCGGCCACGTGCTCCGTGCTTGAGGTTGAGGCGCACGACGGAGCCGCCGCCGTTTTTCTCGGATGGGCCGTCAACGTCGACGGACCGGCCGTCGGCAGATGGCAACTGGTTTGCATGACCCCGATGGCGCGGTAGTAGTCGCAAAAGGTGCGCGCCACGTTCCGACCAAGGCGCAAATCTATTTCAAGTCAAGAATAAATTTTCTTAAAAGAAATTTAGTAATAAATGTTTGATGAATATGATTAATTTTTAATTTTGGTTTTTCGTTATTATTTAACAATTTTAAAGTTGAATTAATTTTAATTAAAAGGATACAGGCATCTTCATTATACGGCACAATTCCTTGGTCATTTGAGCGTTGGTAGCCGTAAAGTGAGACTTCTAAAGTGTAGCAATTCACAGAATCCTTTAGCAGAGAACAGATGTACCTGAAAATTTTTTTGTGGTATTAAAAATGGGAATAAAAGGCTTAAATAAATAAAAATTAAGCGTGGTCCTAAATAAATACCAGTTTTCTAAATTCTGATTTTCCAATTCAAAATCCAAATGTGTTTTATATTGCTCTTTTAATACACCACTTATTTATTTTAAAATGTTTTCCTGCTCCATATAATAAAAATTTGCAACAATCTACTCTCACACCAGATATGAAGAATTCAATATTTTATTGAATCTTAAAATTATGAATTTCAAGAGAATGTATAATTTTCAGTTTACAATAATGTAAAAGTAATTTTCAACTGGGACCAAATTATTTAAGTAAAAAATTTGGCTGTTTTTTATTCTTTGTCATTGTAGAATCAAAAACCAAAAGACGAGAGGCGAAATGCTTAAATTTTCAAATTCACCATTATTAGCTCAAGATTAATCAATCTCATACCTTCGTGCTGTTCCGGCCTTGCTAGAATCCCGATTGTACATCGTATTGGCCTGACAGAAATCCTCAGCGTTCTGAGCAAGCAGCTTTTGATAAACAATGTGCCGCTCATATCTGCATTAACGAATAACAATAAATTTGCAAATTTAATATTTATGCAAATTTTCAGTAATTTTTCACATCTTCTCTAAAAAGAAGGAAATAAGAAGAAACAATACCTGTACACGTCCTCATAGGTGTTTCCATAAATAAAAGCACCGAGTAGGCTGGAGTGCGCGTGCAGATCAATGACAAAATCTAAGTTGACGTTCTGGTAAACACAGACGAAATTTGAAACTTAATTGAGCCTAATTTGTTTGCTTAATTTAGCCAACAGTATGATCAAGATACAATTTCAAATGCAAGTAATTGGCACACGTGCCAAGCAAGTAAATTGGAAATCCGAAACTTTCAATCATTTTCATGGGAAAAAAGTAAAAATTTATTTCTGAAACACTTGCCTTGTCGTTGTCAAGCTCCTGCAACATCTGCAGAAGGGTGTGCAGAGCGGGATGAGACCAGGGAGAGCTTTGGTGCCAAGTTCTGTTCAGGTCACATCCCATCACGCTCGATCTGTTCAAAATATAATTCTAATAAAAACATTACATAATTTATAGGTAGTCAAATAATTGAGGTTAATGCAAAAATAAAAAATAAAATGGGTTTTATTTTTTTCAAATAAATGAAGTTTAAAGCTGACTTTATGATTTAAAATTATGATATAATTTATTGAAAATGAGACTTGTTGGGCTTTCTAAAATATATAATATATAATATAAATATATAATATAAGAAGAAAATATTTTTTACTGAAGATATGCATTATTTCTTAAAAAAGAATGAGTATTCAGTGTAAAATGCCTTAAAAACCTGCAGGTATGTAGAGAAGGGATTGAAAATAAGCAAAAAGTTCTTGAAATGAAAAACGTTCCTGTTTAATTAATGATGTCAACTTTTTAGAAAAAGAATTGCATTGAATTTTGAGTAGAACTTGTAACATTGGACAAAAATAATTGAAAATATAATAATGCCGCTAAGTAATTGCCACCATAATAATGTAATAACGGTTGGGGTGCATTACCAAGCGAGACGTCAAGTGACTCTCTGGCATGCTGTTTAAGTTGCGTATCACGAGCGCTATCAAATATAATTTCGGTCATTGCAATTGGCAATATAGAGAAGGCCGTCGAATCAATATATAAGAGCCTTTTTCTTGAGTGTTCCTTTTCAATTGGCGCGAGTTGCCTGCATGCCAATAGAAAAATTAAGTGCCAACTTCCTGTAGGTCACTCTCGGAGAAGTCGGTCGGGGAAAAACGCCAGTAGCATCTGGACAAGAATCATGAATAGAGCAGCGAGGATTCTAGCGCTGCTCTGCGCAATTTGCATATTCGCTGAGGCGCTGAATGAAGAACAGGTGATTTATCGATACATTCGCGTAAGGAAATTTTTATTTTCAAAATTAAAAAGTAGAATTTTATTTTTATGTTGTTTTGGAATTTAATTTAAAATTTTAATTGAAAGGTTATTTTAAAGTATTTTATTATTCATATAAAAAATTTTACTGATTATTTTTTATTCAATTAAAAAATTATGAATATTTATTGAAAATTTGTACTTTCAGCTGCGTAATGAAATTTTTTTAATTTAATTTAAATTATTACTTTTATAAAATCCATTAATTCATATTATTATACCTAAAAAATGCAATATCAAATTATCTCCCGTCAAATTATAATATTCAATTAAAAAGTTGCCAACTATGCAAAAGCTGCATCTGGCGTGTTCGGACCGCAAAATTAGCCTGGAATCTGATTCAGAGTTGCGTGACGCTTTTCCCTGCTGCGTCGTCTGACCGTGAAATGGCCTGCCACCCGCGTTGCACGGGCGTATTGCGGCACAGCATCCGTCTCTGAGCCAGGCGCGCCCCCGGGCGAACATTTCACGCGTTCCTGAGTTTCCAGCCGGCGCTCTTCCCCCGTCTAATTGCTATTCACTAGGAAACATAAAAACGAACTCGATTCTTCAAAACTGGGCTCGCTAATTGAATGACATAAATTTTACACTCAATTTGAATTCAATTTTAAAAGAGAGTAAAATTTTATTTTAATTAGAATTTTACCTTAGAATACAAATAATCGTCATTAGAAAGGAGTTGAAAGCTGCGATGCAAATTAAATTTAACTGACGTTAGATAATTATAGAGACTTTGTAGATTTTAAAATAAAAATTAGACGTGAAACTTTTATAATCGATCAACATATCATTGCAAATTTTTAGTAAATAGCATTGTTTAATTTAATTGATTATAAAACAAAAATCTGATCGGCTTTGGAAAGTTCTAGCAGATGTTTTTTTTTTTGCAATTTTGACGAACATAAAAAAAAATTAGTACTGTTTTAATCCACTGAATATTAAATCTATCAATTTTTAGCAAGAATTATTAATGATATTATTTCAGGAACATACAATGGAACAAACAGATAATGTGGAAACTGAGGGTCCTCCCTTTATGCCGGAAAACCCCAAAAGTGAAACGGAGCTGGATATTCCCGAAAAGATTGAACCGATCGAACCTGTTGAAAGCATAAAACCACCTCAGGTGGAACAGGAAAATTTGGCAGATATTCTGCGAGAAGTTTTAAAATCAAACTCTGAAGATTCACAAGCGATCATAGAAGCAGTAATTTTCAATAAATAACAAAAAATATTTATATTTTAAATTCTGCAAAAAAAATAGGCTGTTAAATCGGCTGCCAGCCAAATTGCAGCTCAGGTTCAAGATAAAATGGAGCAAAGATTGAAGAGGATCGAAACACAAGCTGAGGAAAATCTTCTCAAAGTATAATATAGACACCTGCATTTTGTACTAATTAATTTAAATTTTTGATGCTTATTCAGTATAATGGAATAGCAATGTACATGGCTGAGAAATTTTACCTGAAGGCGAACAACGTAGAAAGGAAAATTGCCAAGTCACTCGACTTGATTAATGAGGTAATTAAGCCACTGAAAATTTGTGTGTGCCCTTTAATTCATTTCTCGCGTGAAAAAGATTATTCAGTACCAAATGACGAAGGGCGAAAACGATAGCTCGTCAGAGAGAAACTCAAGTAAAAAACAGATGGCGATGAATACGAATTTCAACTGCGAGGGATACAGTGAGTTCAACAAATATTTTAAAGGGCTCTTGAATTTGATAAGGAATAATGGCTGAAAAAACAAGCATTTAAGGTTTAACTTGTTTTTGTGGACACTCCTGTTTAATCAATTACGTAATCATGCAAATTTTGCAATCATAACATAATTTCAATTTCAGCCATGAAATGTAATGTCTTAAAAATTTTTATTTTAGAAAAATTGGCTTTGATGAAGGTCAGGTACGGAAAATACTACATCAGTGAAAATATGGTAACAAAATTGTTATTAAACTTTGTATTAAATATTAATTTTGAAAAAAGACGGATTGGTTTGGGGCCAAGGAATTCTGTGAGACGCATGGAATGGAGCTGATCAGTTTTGAGAGAGTGAGCGAAATGAGGTCCATCTGGCAACTGGCGGATGCTTCTAAAGAGTGTAAGAATTTAAAAAAAACAAATTACTTTCGTAAATCTTGTGAAACGTTTTAGTTTTCTATTTTCAATCCATTAAAATTTTGCATATATAAGAATAATTAATTAATTTCAACTTTTTTGAGAGTTTTGATCTTTTCAGTCATGGTATCGTACTGGACGTCTGCAAGTGACATTGGATACGAGAGGGAACAGTTCCACTGGCGCAACGGGGACAAAATTGAGAGCGAGCTGTGGATAACCGGAACCCCGGACCCCGTGTTTCTGAGCAATGAACACCAGCCGTCGTGTGTGAGTCTCTTCATTGGTCGATTACGCGCGACCAGCTGCCATTATCAGCGATACTTTATTTGCGAGGGCCTCAAACACGACAACAAAGCAGCTGCCTTTAATCACAAGATCACTGGCGAGTAGTGAGAATTAAGACGCCCAAATTGCAGAGCCTTTGATCTTTGACGGAATAATATAATTGCACCGAAGATGGCGAATAAATCGTTTCATAAGTACAAAGGAAAATATATTAATTATTATTTTTAAAATAAAAAACAATAAAAAACAATTTTCAACAAGTTGAAGCGAGTTAAAATTTGAATTTTATAAAATTATGTTATCAATCTAACCTAGTTTTAATGATATATAAACAGAATACAAGATATTCTGATTATGCTTTTTATTAATCATGTTTCAAGTTTTAAATTTACTTTTGAAAGCTATTATTTTTTAATAATTCTTTAAGACAATTAAAAATTTTAGAGTAAAACTAATAATCATAATTATTTACCGAGTAAATTCAATACTTAAAAGGCCCCGAAATTTTTTTTTACAAAGTCTTGTTAAAATTAAAATTATTCATAAATCAATTCAAGAAAAATTATTAACAATAAGATTTGACACTTTTATAAAGTTTAACTTTTTATATTTGCCGGCATTTCATAGCGCTAAGATTTTCCTCATTAAAAAATCTCAATAAAATTAAACAATTATTTAAAGTACTCTTACCTGTAGTTGCCAAGATAAACGCCATCAGGGTTCAGCATGGGCACCACATGAAAAACGACGTATTCCCGTAATGCGAGGGCGATCGGATGACTACTTATCAAAAAGTCAATCAAGCCTGAAAAATTTTACATATATAAGTTTTTCTCTAAATTGCGATTAAGGTTATGAAGATGAAGGTGGTTAAGGAAATAATTACCTTGACAAACAAACGAGGTTGGTGACTCGCCAGGGTGAACTCTGCTGAGGATGAAAACCACGCGCTGCTTCCGACCTGCCTGCAAATTCTGGGTGTGCGTGATCGTCAGCATATCAATACTACGTTGTTGCTGAAAGAAAAAAAAATTAAATATCCAGGTACCTTAAAACCCATTTTTTTTTATTAGATTAAAAAACATTTTCAAGATTGATACAATACAAAAATTGTAGTTTGAATACTAATTAATTTGCAATTTCAATTACTTTAAAATAATTAGGAAAATAACTATTTATTGCTTTTTTTTATTTCTTTATATAAACATAAATAAAATTTAAAAGTGGTTTACAATATTTTCTAAACCAAATTTTGTTTTAAACTACAGCTTTAATTAGAATTTATTCTCATTAAGTTTCATAATAGCTTACAAGGCTGGTGGCAATTTGCTGGCGGCGCAAGAAATTGAAATTGCGCCTCTCAAGCGCGTCCGCGTGCGCCTGACATCGCGAGTATGAGTACGGAAAGCTCAGGGCGAACTGGTAAACGTCCTCTTCGCGGTCAAAGCCAAACGCAAACGAAAGTATGAAGTGGTTGTGATGCTCAGGAGATCGGTAGTAATACACGTGTTTGCTCGACATTCGCTGCCTGAAACAGACACAGACATGAAATGATTATATTGCTATATTTTTACGCCACAATCTAAATTTGACACATGAGTTCAAATCTTGCAATTAAAACAATAGAAAAGAAGTAATTGGTTAATAAGTGAATTTAAAAGTTGCAAAGTTAATTATAGTCCTCGCCCAATTTTTTAAAGTGCTGACGTTGGAAATGTTTTAGTTTAGAGGTTCTCTGCAATGGTTCTAAAATGGCTCGCAATTGATCACATTTTACGCAATTAGCTGATTAGTAAGTTTTGGAAGGAGTTTCAGAAGCTCCATTTCCCCAGAGACGGCGCCGTTAACCCAGGCAGATAGGTAGACTTAATAAATTATGTGAGCTTAAGTTTGAAATTGTTTTGAATATAAAGGAAGAGCAGAACTTTTGTGTTGTTAGATCAAATTTTGAAAAGGAAGTGTTTTAATTATTTATATAAAAAATATGCTGTGAAAAATAAAATCAGGCCAAAAACCAGCCGAGTATGTGTTAGAAGATTTTGATGCTATTAACTGGATAGTGCAATGGATTGTTTTCGCAATTAAGTTAAAAATTAAGCACTCCGGATAAAAAAAATTTAATTAAAGGAGAAGATTAAAATTTCATGTAAACATTTTCTGAAAATTCTTAATAATCTAATTGTAAGAACCGTGTGGTAGATAGGCAACCTGCACAACGCAGAAGACAAGAGAATTGTCTGGATTCATTTAAAATATTTATCCATGGAATTCTCACTACCTGTTTTTTTTCGAGCAGGTAGGATTTTTCAAATCTGTGCTTGAACCAAACAGGTGCTTAATGGCAAATTTTATTTTTTTAAGTTTGGTTTTTTGAAGTTTTCCAAAAGTCAAGTCCAGGGTTTGTTTGAGAGCTCAAAAAAATTACTTAGTTTCAAAAGGGCAATATTTTGCCATGGTTTCGCTCTTATTATCGAAGGAAAATAAATTATTCCAAAAAATTTTAACGCATTTTCATTTGATGATAATTAGAGGTTTTTCACAACTCGGTTTTCGCAGTTTTACAAAATGAAATAGTTTTTATATATTATAAAAAAACGCGCTTTTTGTCTTTTGTTTGCATTTTATTTTTCGTCATTTGAAGCAAAAACAAATCTTTTTGCGAAATTGACATTTATGTTAGATAGTTGTGCAACGAGAGCACGCAGAGTTTTTCTCACTTTTCTTTGCAGGCAAGAATATATATTTGAAAGTTACCAGCGACATATTCTAATTTACAGCTGCGACGGTGTTACGGTCTCTCTCTCGCAAGCACCTGCCAGCCACGTGTAATTTAAAAGTTTGCTGTTGTACATTGCAACATTAGCGCGCGCGGCGTCGCTCTTGCCCCCTCGGCTGCTCGGCTTGATTTATAATCGCGTGCCGCCTCTCGTCTGCATACTTATACACACCTTTTCCTAAATTAGTTTTCCCTAGCTATTCCCTTCTTAGCGCACCCCTTCGCCAGTAAAAGATGTCGCGCAAGAGAATTTGCCAATACAGCTTGGCTGCTGCCGCTTTTGCCGAGAAGAAGAAGAAAAAGTCCCGAGCCGGGTAGGAGTGACTTAAGTGCCAACTGGGTGCGGCCGAGACAAAAACCAACCACTCACGCTAGAACACAAGCAATTCTTCTCTGCCTGTTTGTCCAAAATTTCCCATTTCTCCCCTTGGAAGTGACAAATTCGGTGCAATTTTCTTGATAAAATTCATATTTTTTTTTTAAAGGAGAGCCAGCAGCGTGTTAAAAGTGTCAACACCGGTTAAAATTTGCCTTACTAAAAAATTACGATATTTTAAAATTGCTTCCATTATATTACTCATCTTGGGAAGGAAAAAAGCACACCCAATTTTCATGAAATATTGTAACTAAGATAAATTAATATAAAAATGCAACTTTTTATTTGCTCTCCAACAAGCCTATTTTGATTTTATTGTATTTTTTTGTCCTAGTTTTTACTGAAAAATTTATCAGTATTTAGTAACTTTAATCAAAGTCTCATTTTTTATTCTCAAAATCAGGTAGACTAATTTAAACCTCACCAGCAAACGCACTGGTTTCGTCTTGTCGCCGAGCATCATAAGTAATATATTCTCAATGCAGCAACTTTTTTATGGACAAATTTGGCATAGTTTAGCTAAAAAGAAATAAACCCATTAAAAAATAACAATAATTCCATTTTATGTTTTGCATCCATATTAAAAAAGCGACCAAAAAATTAAAATTATTTTAAATTTTTTGGTTATTTAAAAAAGTTATTTAACTTTTTCCGTGATATAATGAAACTTACCATTTTGGCCGACTAGTTGATCTGACAATTGGAGTCATGCCTTCTCTGAACAGGTTGTTGGGCTTGCTCAGATTGACAATGTTGAAAATAACTCTCTGGAATGAAAACGAGGCTACATTTTAATTCATTAAATCATCAAAAATAATTTTTTTTAAGCATATTAAAACTGAAGAATAAACTGTTTTTTTTCTTTATAATTTTTCAGCTTAGGAAGCCTCCCTAGTGATGATTTACATTATTAAATTTGGAAGTAGACAAACTTTTATGACTGATTGACTGAAATCAAATTTGAAATTCATGGGTCGAAAATTTGAACTTTTGAAAGGGGTTTATCGGGTCAAGTTAACTTTTTCTCAGCAACAAACATGTCTTAACATAAGATCTCTTTACTTTATTTACAACAATAGGAGCCAGTTTTGGAAATTATTGGAAACAAATTGAAAATTTTCAACCAATATTGTTGTATTGACTTAATTGACTTGAGTTGACTATGTTGATAAGAGTCACCAAGGGAAGTGTTTTCTGCAATCTTGAAATAATTTTCTTTTTTAGTTAAAAAAAATTAAAAAATTATTCATGGAGAAGGCATTTTCATTTGTATTTGCCCACATTTTTATCACAAACAAATAATTCTTTGGACTTTAATCTTTAAATATTTCATTTTGATACAAAATTTGTACAATTCTTCTTTTGAAAAATTGCATTATTTATGAAGACAGCGGGCAGATAAATTACGTCCTGTCCTAGCTGGAGACATCTGCAGCTCTAAACCTTCCTCGCGCCACATGGCCGGTCAAGAAGGAATTTATTTATTTTTCTCGCCTGCTTTTTTGCATGACTGTTGCGAGCCAGGCAATATAAGCAGCCGAATTTGTATGCATGCCGAGCGCGACGAGTTATGCAACATCAGCTGCTGCGTTTCGGCGCAAGGGGTAGTTCGATACATTTGTGAGAGGGTGTGTTGGCTGCATGCAGAATTCCGGCCGTGCGGCGTGAGAGGCCCATTTTTCACTGCCGTGTCGCTGAATAGGTGCGCGCCCGATGCAGGGGAATAATTAATTATTGGTGTCGCTCTTTGCTGGCGTGGGTAAAAAAAGAGGAACGCGTTGCTGCTGCGGGGTCGAGGGTTGATGTTCCACTCGTTTTTTCCTCCTCCCTTGCCTGCATCTTAAAGTATAATATGGTTTCCACCCGGAAAGTTTCACTTCGCCAAATGAAGCAGGAGAAAGAGAAAGAGGCCCCCTATCAATGTGCCAAAGAATTTTCGCGCGCCAAGCTGTCAGCGTCTGTTGCTCGCAAGACTTGAGAGCAATGCTTAAATGAGATTGAAAAAGTTTCGGAAAACCAATTAAGTGAAGAAAAATAATCAAAGGTCTTCGCAGTTTCTTTTTTGTAAGTTTTATATATAATAAGAGAAAAGTAAAGTAAAAATAATTATTACATAGCAAAATCTGTCAAAGCGAAATTGAAAAATAAGAGAATTCACAAAGGGTATTTTCACAAGTTCACAAGGAATCTGCTGAACGAAAACTATTAATAAATTTTTATTTTGATTCAGTTTCTAGTTCAAATTTTGTTATACATACATACAAATATGTTCCATTTATTGTTAAAAAGTAAAATAAGCTCTAATTGTTTTCCACAAAATAATCATAAATATTAGAAAAATTATTTTGAAATGAATTTCTTTTTATTGAGAAATTAAAAAAAGGAGAAAAACTGGCATAAAAATATTAATAGTCTATAAAATTTTTGAACAATCTGCATTGAATGTGGGGGGTCTCTTGGACTGAGATATATTTTACTATCCCAAAAGTTTCCAACCATTTTTCCCATTATTGGGTAATGGCTTCCGCTTGGAAAACTTTGATAGCCCATAACACCCTCAATTTTTGTCCGAAAACAATTTTGCTAAGACCATTTGAATCATCACGCTGAGCTTGAATAAAATCAGAAGGATGTAATTTTAATTTTAATGTCTCAAATAAAAATCTATAGGAGCAGAATATTTTATTAAAATTTCTTTTGAATAAATCAAGGTTTTGTCAAACAAATTAATAAAAATTATTTGACGTTTCCTACAAACTTGATTAAATCCTAAATGTTGAGCCATTTGTTTCGATCGGAGAGAAAGAAATCAGTGCCACTGGGAAAGGGCACCAGAAACACAAATTAAAGAGAAGCGTCGAGAATTGGAGCGTTTGTATTCCGCGGTGTTATCAGAGGGAATGATTTCGTGTCATTTTGGCGCAACCGACTGGAACTGGAAATTACTGGCTCGGTCGTTCGTTTGGTCGACTCGTCGTCTCGCACGCTCCCTCTGGTCGTTTTTCTTATTTTGTCTATGGGGCCTCCTCCATCTCGTTTCATTCCTGTGCTGCTCACGCGGGGCGCGGCGCCGAGTGCGTGCCCTGAATTGGAAAGCTCCCTTCGTCTTCACTCTTGCCATCAAAGAAGTTAAGAAGAGATGCCTTAACGTAAAGGAAGAAGCCGTGTCAACCCCGCCAGTACAATTTGCACTGCGCAGCGGTATTCCGAGATCGGGATGTTGGATTGTAGTCACTTACACTGATGGACCGAATATCACATAATCGACCACCCAAATAAAAGTTCCATAAAAGCTGCATAAAAGTTCCCCGATCTCAATTTGATATGAAAAATTAACTTGGTTAAAAGAACAGTTGAAAAATTAGTTCAGAATTTCTCTAATATCTGTGCTGTATGTATTGTAAATACAAAATAAATAAAAAAATTTGAATTTGAAAAAATATTAAAATTAAAAAGTTTCCAAAAGATCTCATTATAGATACTTAGGGGTGAAATAATCAAAATTGTTGAGAAATGAATCTCACAATCAATTATTAATTAATTTCTGATCTATTTTTGGGGATTTTTTTCCAAAATTATAAATTTAATCAATATCAACCAGACACCCATAAAATAAATCAATGAACATTGAATTAAGTTTTTTTTTTCTTTTTAAAATAAAAACTAAATTACTTCCAATTAATAGTTCCGTTTTTTTTTTATAAAAAACTTTGGTGTTTCAGGGGAAGCTAAATTTTTTTCCATCTCGAGCTCCGAGGTGGTCCTGCGTATTTTTTTTTATGGTCCCAAGAATACCAGCCCTCTCGTTTTAGCACATATATGCAGTTTGAGAGGAGCCGCCTCTGTCGTTGCATGACCACGCACATTACATGGAAATGCACACACCAATAAAAACCGAATGACCTCTCTCCAAGGAGAGATCAAGTGGATGTGTGTATGTATGCGTGGTGTGGTGGATCTGGCAGGGGTCGCCGCGGATTTATATGACGACACGTTGCCTTGCAGGTGATATGATAAGACTTTATACTTGCATTAAGTAAGAGACAGCAGTCGCACTACGTGATGCAGTAAAGTTTCTGCAAGACAGGGGCAGGCACCCGCGCACGTTGCGTCGTAAACTGGGTAAGCAGAATTACGACCTTTCGCGCTCCCAGACAAAGTTCGGCCTCTCTTCTTTTTGACAACTCGTCTTTTTTCGCCACGTTTTTGCTATAAATTTCAAATTACGTTTTACTCTGATTGACAATCGCCCTCGTTTTGTAATTCGCAAAAACTTTAAAGCCAAAAATTGCAATTTTCGTGAGAAATAATTTTAAAACAAACAAAAATTGAATTTTGAAAGAGAACTGATTAAATTGGAGTCTTTTATTTAGTTGATAAATTTAAATCGTGCTTAAATTTTTCATAATTTTTCAATGCATCTGAATGGGGAATAATTAAACAAATTATATAAAATTCAAAATTTTTGACAAAAATATGAAATTGATCATCAAAGGGAAATTTTGAAATATTTTATGACGGTAATTTTTAATTTTAAAGAAGCGAAAGCTTTTCCTTGATGGAGCTCATTTAGTCAAAAACTCAAACGAGGAAAGCTTTCTTTCAATTCCACATTTTGCCATGAATCAGCCCTAAAACCCTCAGGCATAAAATCCTTCTAAAAAATTACAGAGACGCCTTCTAAAATAAAATAAACCATCATCAGTCAAATTTCCTCTTGGTGGTTTTTAATTGCGCACTTTCATTTTATTATTCTCAACAAGTGAAAAGAAAAAATTGTGAAATTTATTATCAAAAGGAAATTTTCAAATGACTGCTGACGCTAATTAATTTTAACAAAAATTGTCATCTTTTCCTCGATTAATTTTTTATTAAAAAAGTCCATCAAGGAAAAGTTTACTTTAAATTTCATATGCCATGAAATAATCCTAACCCCAGGCTAGAATCCATACAAATTGTATTGACGCATTATAGTATTTACAAAGACAATTCTTCTGCATCTCTAAATTATTCAATGCGTTTTCGGATTCTGATATTTTTTTACAATAGAAAGGAAAGTATTTCTGAAGGAGATTTCATCTGAAAACTGTATATTAGTTTCAAATGAAGGAAACTTGAGAAAGCTGGACCGTTTAATTTGAGTTTTCCATTTATTTGAAATTGAATGGCGGCACATGGCAGGAAGAAAGAAAGAAAGTTCTCCCCTTGGAGGATAAGCAGCAGCAAAAAGAAGAAGTCTCTGGCGAGAGAGAGGAACGCCCAAAAGAGAAAACACACGCATTTACCCTCAGCGAATCTGTGCACAGCCGAGTGTAAAAATCCCTTGAATTACGTCCTGGCGCTGCCGAGGGCTTTCTCGAGAATGGCGATAACCTCTTGGCAGCGACGGACGTGCGCAAGGGGCCCGTGAATTCCATTTTTCACAGGCATTGAAATCGACGACGCTGATTGACACCTCCTCCTCTTCGGCATTACGGATTTACTTTTTTTTACGACAAGTATTGAGACGAAGCACGGTTTGCGCAACCCTTGGCAAAATATTGTAAAATGTCACCGAGATGGTATGCAAATCCGAAAGTAGCGAGAGTCGATGGGCCCTTAAAACAGAAAGCCCTAACTTGGATTTGCTGCAGCTAGTTTGCATAAAAAGGCCATTGTCGTGAGCGCGCGCCGCGAGCGACCGGGGACAAAAAATAAAAACCGTACGTACATGCTGCATAATGGCGTAATTCAAAAATTTAAATCCCTGTATCTTGCAGCGGCAGCAACGGCTTTCTTCATGGTCGTTTAGCCTCTTATAACGACCAGGCAAACTCATATTGGCTTTGCGTTCTTGGGCGTCAAATTCTCGCTGCTTTTCAACAACTCGGTTCATTTCCAAGAGGCTTAACTTAATTTGAGGAATTATTATTCATTAAACTTAATTCAAGAGTGACTTGGAATTGCTTGGAATGTTAAAATAAAGTGATTTTTCTTCTCCATTGGAAACCACTGGGAAAAAAATCAGCAAATTTAATTTTAAAAAAAATGCTGGTTGTTTTAACAATTCAATTAAAAAGCCAATTTTTTTGTTATGCCATTTTTTAAATTTCAGGTTCACAATTTCTTAGAACAGTTAAAGAGAGGAACTTTTGATAATGTGAAAGGCATGATTTTAGCTTTTTGCTCTATATTCTGCAGTCAAAAGAGCTCTTAATGAGCAAAAAGGACAAGCAAAGCCACCTTTTCTCCTTTTTTTCTTAGGTAACATTTTTTGCGCAATATTTTAGTAGTTTAGAGAAAAAATCTCATGTCTTGATTAAAAGTTTTATTTATAAAAAAAGGTTATGATTATATAGGACACCTTAGTTTTCTATTTTTTAAATTTCTTGGTCATTAAAATATACTAAATATCATGATTAAAGGTCGGATATTGATTCCATTGAAATATTTTCATATTTTAAGTTAAAAGTTTCAAATTGGAAAAAATCACTGTAAACTCCAAACAATAGCAAAAAACTATTCAAAATTGATACTCCTCAAGCATTGGCAATTTAATAGTTTTTTTCTTCTGTTTTTGTTTTTTGTACATAAATTTATTAAGATATTGAAGTCTTTTTTAAGTTCATCTTTTTCAGTTTAAAATTGAAAGATTTTTACTAATTTGATGATTTTTAATGTCAATGAGCATAGCAGAAAAAATAATGATTAACTAAATTTTGCCAGGACATAGTTTAGGGTACTAACAGATTTTTAAAAACTATTCTGCATTTGTACCTCTGAAATCAATTATTTCTAGAAAACCAATGAAAAAAAAACATATCTATTTTATTTTAACCAGTCTGCGAGGAAATTTCAGCCACACTCATTCAATTACATTTTCACTTCCTTGTCACGAAGCAGATATGAAGACTGAAGACAGGCGAAAAGCAAAAGCCAAAGAGATCCTTAATCATCGGATTATCATTCATTTCCAGAACGTCAAAGTTCTCTCTCTATTATTGGCGTCCCACCCCCTATTATCGTCCCATTTGAATGAATAGAGATTTATTGCATCATTAGCGTGAGCCGATGGTGCGCGCAGCAAGACTAGAGGGCAAAGAGAGAAAAGCCGCTGCCAGACTAATGCGATTTCAAATCCTCGCATTTTTCTTTTCAGGACATACAGAGCTAGCGTTCGCTGTCTGCATCTCTCCGCCGAGGGTTGGTTATTCTGGAAAAGCGCCGCGCCAACGCTCTCGCATTAATAAAACATGGCGCGCGCGGATAAAATGCAGAAAAACCTCCGCCCTCTCCGCGTCAGCTTCGATTTGCGCTCACCCCCGAAAATATTTTCACATGCAGATCTGCTAAGTTAGTATTGTGTCGAAAAATCTATATATTTTATTATTGAAGGCTCCTTCTTCACCCTTCCAGTCAAGCTTATCCGCACAAAACGTTCAAATATTTTTCCGCAACAGAATCACAAAGAATGTTATTTTCAAGATGTGGAAAAACGCTGGATTTGAACATGTTGAAGAAATTCTTTAAAATCTACGTTTCGGCCACAATTAAATTTCATGAGATGGAAAAAATACAACAAATTAGAAATCTGGTATAAAAAATGAAATAAACAAATTAAATTATTTTAATTTTAAGCCTATCTCAATTTTATGAAAAATGCTATCTTTGGAGTTTGTAAATTTTATTGCCTGCGTTTTTAGTTCTCATTTCTTTTCTTATCTTGAAGAATCAAGATGAATGTCAGGAAGAATTCGAGTATGATAATTTCCTGGACTTCATTTTATTAATTAGATAATTGAAGTTTATGCTGCATGTTAAAATCTCAATCAAAATTTTACTTATTATGTAAATTGCAGAATAAAATGGACTCTGCAAATTGTAACTGGTTTTATAAATTAGAAATTTAATTAATTAATATATCAGACATTTTAAGTTACAAATTGAAGAGGTTTTTTTTACGTTCCAAAATTTTATCAAATGAATGAGTCTTCATATTAGGTTAATAAACACTATTAGTATAGAAAAATGAACTTTTAAATCAAATAAAACAAAAATTTCTTGAATAGAAAAATTTCGTTTTCTCACCTGGTCTGCCCGCACATTATCCACGGTGAAGTTGAACCAAAGCCGAAGACGGGGGTTGCAGGTGTCGGGCCGAATGAAGAGATCATATTCGTATTCAGAAATTAAATCCACTCGCCCAAGATTTCCTGAAATCAAAATACATATTTATTAAACTAAACTTTTTTCATATGAGAGTTTTTAGAAAGAAAAATTATTTCCTTTACACAAAAAGAAAAAAAATGGTTCTTCTATTTTAAACTAAATATTGTATAAATTATCATTTAAGATTCATATTTTTCATTTAATAACAAGGAACAATCAAAATTAATGGTTTGGAATTTCCATCTGGCTTTTGGTTCGAAATATTATTTTAATTTTCAATTATGATCATTTTGTCTGGTTATGGTGTAGGTTTTCATAGAAGTGTCTGCAGACCAAAATTTCCAGAACTATGAATACAAATTTGAAATTATAAACACAATTTAAAACTAAACTAAAGATCCAAGAGGATGCTTATTCCAATCCAAGACTGTGAGTTTATTCTAAAAAAAGTAAATATTCAATGACACTTTTATTTTTATAAAAAAATTTCCAGAACGTTTTGAGAGATCCCCTTTTGTTCCTCAATTTTTTCGGGCGAAGGGGTCACATTATTACTCTTCTCTCTCTTTCAAGGGACCAATTCCGAGCAGTCGCCTTGTGCATGCAAATCGGGCCGAAAGTGCGCGGCTCATAATAATTTCATTTTTAACAATTCAGCCGGCGTCTGCGACACCTATGTGGCATAGGGTGGCGGTGCGTCTCTCGTCGGTTCCGCACGACGGAGAGGGATAATCAAATTTAAAAGCGCGAGCGTGAGAGTCCACAGGATTATTAGCAAGTTGCTCTGCTGCAGGGTTAACGTTGTATAAATGCGAATTTGGATGCAGAGCGCAGTGCGTTGCTGGTAGGCAAGCGTGATCGTCGCTCGTCATCTAATTTACTTTGAGCCGCGCTGCGGCATTAGCAATTAACTGAGTGCGAATGAGTCAGAGCTCCAAATTAAAATAAAAAAATTAGCGCGGTTGGAATTGCAAAAGGACAGGTGCTTCAGAACTTTTAACTCAATTTTCCTAACACACGTCTGGAGCAGAATTTGCATCAAAAATTATTTCTGTCCAAAAAAGATACTCGCAAAAAAATATTGCTTCTCAAATTTATTAGGTAAAAAGAAACTCAACTATATTCTGCAGTAAAATAGTAAATTAGTGGCATGACGTTTTTATGAAAAATTGTGATTTTAAGTGATATCGTGATATGCTAAAACTTTGATTGAAGTACATAAATCAATAGTTTCATGTGTAAATTGCAGAAAATTATTAGCATACAATTTTTTCAATAAAAAGTAGCTTCGTGTTTTTTTTTTAACTACTGATAATTCTACGGAGAATCTCACTATTCCTATATTATTTATATCAATATATATTAATAATATTAAATATTATGATGCCAGCAAATATTATGACAAGTGTGCTCGGTTCCCAAAATAGTTTGAAAGTTTTATATAGGAAGTAATTTTGTCGTAATTTTTAGAACCTCTTTCTTGAAAAACTTAAAATCCTTACATTGAAATGAAATAAAAGAGAAATATCGCCAAATTTAAAACTGGAATTATAATTTTGAAAAACCTGTTTCAAATGAAGCGTCGAAGCAAATGTGTCCTCGTTTGGCCTTTCCAGAATGTCCGGCTGGCCTCATAACAACGCGGCTCACATTTCCGAGACCACCCTCATTTTCACTGTCGTCACTATCTGAAAACACACAAGGTTAGTTTATTAATTTTAGAACCGTTCATAATCATTCAAGAAATCAGTTTTATTAAAACAAAGCAATTTGATTCAAACAATATTATAAAATAGAATCTAAATTAATTTGAAAAAATGTTGGTAAATTCTGTTTAAAATATAATATTTGAGAAATTTTTTCTCTTAAACTATAGCTTTGTTTAAAAAAAAAAGGATTTAGGAGGTATCATCTAACAATAAGCATTTTTTTTCAATATTTTTTTTGTGCATTTCTATCAAGAAAATTTAATACCTTGTCTAAACCTTTGAGAATTAAGTTCCTTGTTTTTGTTTTCACCAAAAGTTTCTAAAAATAAATTTTGTTACGTCAAAATATCCTCCTACATCCCTTATAATTCTTTGTTAGCATTTTCTAACTCGGATTATGGATACTAATGACTCCTTTTTTATCAAATAAATTATCCGGGTCAAATTTTCTCAAAATAATTTGGCTTTCTCACAAATTCCAGCAAAGTGCGGTATCAAAACAAAAGATTTTACGTGGTTGCACGTGCATAAAAGCTGCGAAAACTCGTTTGTTAAAGTATTAACGTTGGTCTCATTCTGCAACACAAAACGTTATCCTTAATTGCCTGTGAATACCAGATTCGCCTGAATTTGTCAGTAGCCTTAAAATAGCGTGCAAGAGTCTTTGTTGGGCCGTTCTAACGTGTAGGCTGAACGTGGGCCAGCTCACATATATCGAATCCCTGTACCGTTCGAAAAGCATTATGCATTATAAAAATTTAGGGCGGCACTGATTTTAAATTAAAAGTGAATTTTTTTTAGTAAAAAATAACACTTGAAATTTGTAAAATTATTTATTTTAATCTTATAAAAATAAAAAACACATACACATGAAAAAAGTCACACTTGTTGAAGGAAAAATCTCTTTGTGAAATTTAAAAACTTCCAGTGATTCAAAATTGATTAAAAAATTTTAAAACATTACTGACCTCCTGGATATGTAAACTTCAAATTTAATTAATAATATAGAATTTTTATAAGTCAGTTGATGTACGATGCAAGGATCAAATATATGCAGGCCGCTCAGCCCGCGCAAGTTGCATTATTAAGCGCCATTCTTTCAGCAAATGAAATATTCTGGCGCGCGCAGTAAAATTTTCAGCAGCTTCCCGCAAAGTGGCCGGCAGCACCTGCACGGCCGCCGAGGGAGAAATAAAATCGTGGCTTGATTAAAATTTGAGCTTTACGCCGGTACCTGAATGGGTGATTGAAACCGAGCCACACATAAAAGTGGCACTAAATTTGATTAAAAAAGCAATGCTCCGGTGCGGGTGGGCTGAAAAATTAACGCCAAACGCGTGTGCCACCGGTGCACGCGCGCCCGATTTCTACGTGTCAAAATCGGCCCTAGGGAGGCCCCGAGCACAACGCAAGCTGCGTCAAACGCTGTTAAAAACTCTTCAATTCGCAATGAGTGGGCAAGTTTCGCCCCCGCTACACGTGATGCAGCGCTTTTAAAATTTAATGCAAAATGCGCAGGATTGATGTTTTCTTATACAGATTTTGCTTCGGGTTATTTACAGAGGCACTCAAAATCAACGAGGAAGAAGCTATGAAAATATAATGTTGGCACTCAAGGCGTAAATCGACAAACAACGTTCAATGCATAATAAGTGGTAGGCTTAATTACTTTAAATAACAAATAATATATATATAAAAAAAAAAAAGCCCCTAATAAGAGGGTCCGTCGTGAGTCGGTCGCGTCGGTCGAGTCGGTCGCGTCGGTCGCGAATTTCAACTTAATGAACATTTTGTTGAAAAAATCTATAAGTAATTTTTATTTAATTCACTCACGCCTTTCCGCAAATTACATAAATCATTATTTTCAAAAAAAAAAAAAAAAACGGATGAAGAGTATCCAGGGTCGTCATGATTGGAATCACCACAGAAAAAACGATCATATGCACTGAAAGGCATTCAGGTGAAAGAGCTCAGAAACTGCATTCCTAGTGACGTCATTTGATCACCACCGATCACCGGAGCGACTGAAATGGTGCGTGGGTGAGGCTTAAGGCTCTTTTCATCGTGGTCAGTGAATATGTGTAGGAGGGAGCAGAAAATTTCAGCACGTGAGGCATGGGAATAACAACAGGAGTGCAAATTTTTTGCCACATTTTTTCGCTTCAGCTAATTTCATTGCAAATATTTTCCGCTTCTGTTATCTCATCTTCACCTCTATTATAAAATTAAAGCTCAAAATATCTGCCCACTTCCAAATTCAAAATTCATGATTTTAAAATCGAGCTTAGCGTTCGGGTCTGTAACGGCGAAAAGTATGGCGAAAAATGGGGTTTCTTCCTGAAAAATTCATTTGGTGCTCCCCTCGCACGCACTTTTCTATTTCCATACAGCCTTTTATCAGAAACGCGCTATCACCGAGAGCAAACACGTATAATACATTGTGTGAGCCTTTTCTATTCGCTGCAGGAGAAGTTGAGTGGAAAATGCGAAAGAAAGAGCAGCGTACGGTAACTGGGTGTGAATTTTTATCTTTATGTTGCGCCACGCCGAATTGAAAAATGTACATTCCCGCGTCTGGAGATTATTTGCATCGCCCGGCCGGCAAGGGAGCCGCGCGAGTGGGGGGATTGCAGATAAAAAGGGCAATTTTTGCCCCCGCCTTTCTCTTCGCGCAGGTGATTTGCAGGCAAAATAAGAAGAGAGACGGAGCGGCTGAAATGTCTGAAGAGACAGGCAATTGCAGGCGCAGATAAACGTGACCTGACTCGCAGAACGTGCGCGCCTTCGCGATAAGAGATCCGAACGAAAAGTGCCGCCGCCTCCAGCACGCCCCGGGGATTTTTATTGAATATAAATGTGAAGCAATTCCTTGGTCAGCGACGCCTGCCTTGTAGGACGTGCTCGGAACTTTTGAAATTATAGAAAGAAAATCATAAGTCGATATACCGGCGCAACAAATTTCCAACTTCTAACTGTGTGTCATTTGACATTACAATGCCTGCAGGGTTGTTTAGAATGGAATATTTTTTTAATGAAGTTTGGTTTTGAAATTCAAATGAATCCGCACTAACCATGAAATTTCTATACTATTTTAAATTATCTGGAAATGACTAAAAAAAACAAAAGACCTATTAGAAAAGCCTAAAATTTCTAGTTGTAGCTCTGTTACTTGCAGATGATGGTTATAAGAATTTTTGAAAATATTAGAGAGATCACTTTGATTATTTCTAAAAAAGAGAAAAATCTGGAGTATAAATGAGGAAAATTTCAATTTTTTTTGTTATAATAACCATTTTTTTTCCACTCTGCAAAGATAACTTTTATTATTTTGCCGATAAACAGCAAAAGTATAAAATATTATTTTGTAAAAACAACCGTAACAGTTTCTGAGCGATACTCTTAACAAAATTAAAAAATTACTTATCTTTATAAAAAGGGGAGATCAATCCGCATAAAGACACAAAGGACTTCTATATTCATAATTCCCATGGCATATCAATGGGTTTTATTAATTTTTTTTATGGCGATCAAACAAACAATGTCAATAGTAGCTTTTGTGTATCACGAGGTATTAAATTAGTTAGTCATCACGTATTTTGACGAATGTTGTGCAGAAAAAACACACACGTGCTCAATTTGGCGCTCGGAGGCAAATTAGCAAATTTATGGTGAAATCTCATTCGCAATTTTAACGCAATCAGGCGCTGATTTATGCAGCCGGCTCGTCAGTCGTGCGCGGCCGATTGCCTATCCAGCGCCTGTCAGCAGAGATTCGCTGTTGCCGTCGGCCGGGTTGTGGGCGAGCTGCATGCAAATGACACAAACGCACGCGCGCGCTGGGCTAATTTATTCATTTTCGGGCTTTCCGTCAAAACAGCTCTGGCGACCGTAAATTGAGGATGATAAACAGGCCGAGATTTATTGGCTGCCGCTCCGAGACAGCCATTCGTATATTATTATATATATGTGGGCACAAAGAGCCACCCCCTCTGATAATTAGGCACGCCGGTCACGTCACGCTCCCTAATGGATGGAAACCGCGGTGCTGGGTTATTAAAAAACGTACACTGCTGGAAAAAACCGAGTGCCGGCGACACGAAGGGGCCACTATCACACTATCAATCTTCTAGCTCAGTAGCTGCCGGACATGGACAAAGATTTGAAGTGAAAACTTCCTTGGCGTGTACAAATTTTTGCACGAAACGAATAAAAATTAGTTATTTTCTTTTTTTAAGTTTTATGAATCATTTGATCTTATAAAATATTAATAAAAGATTTAAAAGTGATTATAATTTCTTTATTAAAAACAAATTTTAATTCAATCAGGTTGGGAAATAATAAATTTAATGACCAAGAGGCTAAAATTTATTGTTCCAACTCTTTATTTATTAATTTATAAAACCTTCTCAGGCACTAAAAAATTGCATGAAAAAATAACTCGAATAATTTTTTTTTTTTTTCATTCAGTGCTTTTATAAATCTAAGTTCATTTTATTAAATTGAGAAAGTATACAATTAAAATTTCTTCCTCAAGTTTCATAACTCCTTTTTTTGTACCATATTAAGCATTTTTCCCTTTCTAAATTTGACTTGAGGGCCTCTTCGCTCTCACTACGGCGTTAGGCAACAGAGGAGCTGCAAAAGTCAGTAAGCAGCACACAGACGCACGAATATATCTGCACGCGCCGTAAAGATGCGCGGCGTGCCGTATTGCCACGACAGCTCAAAAACGAACATAAATTGCTCGACGGGTGATATAATATTGTTCTGCTGCGCCAGGGGCGAGGCACGAACAGCAGGCGAAACAAAGCGAGGCTCCGGTTGCACCACCATGTCGGCAAAGAGGCACATATTTCAACAGGGCAGGTGCGATGGAAGTGTTCGTTCATCAGTTTAACACGGGCGATATATTTTCCTCTTTTTTTATGGCTATGAAAATGTTGCGGAAAATATCGAGAATGGCCAGGTTTGATGGTTGA